TGGTCGCTGGGATTGTCCTCTGCAGCCCCTTCCCCCCCACAGCCCCGCTGGGTCTGGACCTCAGGTGCGCCCTGAGCACACAGGGCTGCAGGCTGGGGGCTCCAGGGGCACAGCCGGGAGCCGGAAAGGGGCTCCTGAAGGAGAAGGAAGGAGGGGCTCCGGCTCCACTCCCGGGAGCAGCTTGGGCTGCTAGGGAGGCTGCGGACCAGCTCCTGCTCAGTGGGTGGGGGTGGGGCAGGTCTCGCCCTCTTCAGCCTCACCCAGGCCCCGCGACCCAGAGCCCCGAACTGTAGACAGTACCTGGGCCTGGATGGTGGTGGCGAGGAAGGCAGAGGCCCAAGATGGCAGGAGGGTGCTGGCTCACACCCAGAGGCCGGGGGTCCTGCAGAAAGAGGCCTCATCCAGACCACGGCTTCCCACCCCAAGCCAGTGGCTCATCAGCAAACCACGCGTGAACCTGCTCCTGGAGGGGAAGGAGGGGCAGGTGCCAGGACCAGAGACCCCGCCGGTCCCGCTGCTCCTTGTCAGGTGGCACTCGGTCCTGAGGCCGGTCCAGGGCTGTGGCCACGCTACTCAGAGTGGAATCGCTGTCCCTCCCGCCACGGGGCCTGGACACTGCATCACCGCAGAGGAGAGGTGGTCCGAGAGGAGCTGGGGGTGGCTACACAGCCCAGGGGCCCAGCAGCTTCTCCCTATGGGGAGTCCAGACCTGCCCCACCACAGAGGGTCCTGACACAGGTCACTTCCCTCTGCCCACAGGCTTGGCAATTTCGGGGCCAAGGACACAGGTGCTTAGAGACAATGCCTCACACCTGGCCACCGCCCCGGCTACCGCCTCGCACAGCCTGCTTGTGGGGGCAGCAGGCCTCTGGCTCCAGGAATCCAGAGCATGTCCCTGGGAAATGGGGCCTGACTCCCTGCCTCTGTGACCCAGTGCCATCCACTCTGCACCCCAAAGCCTGGCTCTGAGGCCTCCCAGAACCTCCCTCTGCCTGCTTCATGCCCACTGCCCAGCCCCCAGCGCCCACTGTCCCCAAGCTCTCCCGGAAGCCTCTCTGCAGAGCCTGGGCCTGTCCAGCCACAGCTGCCCCTCCCAGGGGCGCCCAGGCCAGCTAGGTCCTCAGGGACACCTGCCCCGTCCACACGCCCCGTCTTCCACCTGACGCCATGCACAGAAGGGCTTCTGCAGGGTCTCGGGTCTCAGCGTAACTGCAAGTGAGAAAGGCCCACAGTAGAACGTGTGGTTAACCCCGAGGGTGAGCACGGGCAGGGTCCCCTGGGTGACCGGGTGGGGTAACGCCCGAAGGCCTGCCATCCGTATCCATCACGGGCGTGAAACAGTCACACTGAGGCCAGAAAAGTACATGAAATATTTTCAGGGTGACGAAGCCCTTCATGAATAAGAAGATCTGGCAGTAAATGGGAAACTGGGAGGAAGGTTTCAATGCCGATGACAGAGAAAAGTGAGGGCTCCTATTACACAAAGAGCTAGAATTAATAGCAAAAGGGGAAGAAATGGACAAATTGCAAATAAGAACCCCACAGGCAGGAGATGCAAGTGGCCACTGGGCTCATGACCAGGCCCCAACTCTCAACCCTCAGAAATGTCACCAGAATGGCACCCGCTTCGTGGGGCCGTGGGGCTCAGCAGCCCCGTCTTTGGGGGGCAGTTCTGAGCCCAAGAGCTTTGTCTCAAAGACAATGTTTCCTGGGGGGCGGGTTGTAGGCAGGATGGTCCTTGTAGGCAGGATGGGGGTGCTCAGACAGTAGGACACCCCCATCCCCCGATGCCCCCAGAACAGAGCCTGGTGGCAAAAGTTGCCAGAAAAAGGGGGAGGACGAGGGGGGCACCCTGATCCCCAGGTACAGGGCGGAGGAGGGCCGCCTCCACCTCATTGTCTTAACGCCCCCTCTCGCCTCTTGTCATAAAGAATTAAAATCTATAATAAGAAAATTTAAGAGTCCCCTGTAATTCAGCCCATCAGCGCCGTCCCGGCTGTCGGCCAACCTCACAGAGTATTAATCTAGCCATCTCCCTCTGCTCCCAAGGACTTGTGATAAAAACGTCAAACAATTAGATTATGTGGCCGACAGCGATGGAGTGGCAGGGCAGGGGCGTCCCTAGAAAATCACCCTGACAGAGGCAGGGGGCCGCACGCCACGTGAAGTCCCCCTCCCGACCCCCCACTTTTACAGTCAGACCAGGTCTGGGGAGCAGCCCATGTCCCTGTGGGCCCAGTGAGCAGGGCCGGCCTCAGGGACCCGCTGCGGGGGACTAAGGGACTGAGTGATGCTGGGGGGCAGAGCAGGGAACCCCCGGGGAACTGGAGCCCAGAAGGTGCTGGCCCCTCCCAGCTCCGCCGCCAGCCCAGCCTGGGAGGCGTTTGCTGGCCGCTCCGCCCGGCCTGCCCTTCCCAGGGCCCAGGCTGCTGCCGCCTTCATCTTCTTTTTTGAAGCGTGAAGACGTGTCGCAAATTGATTTCACCGTTGGAAATGGGATAATTAAACTGGTTGTTTCCATCTTCATCATCGCCATAATAAAATGAGAGGACAGCCGTGGTGCGGAGGGATGCTGCGTCTAACGCAGGAGCATTAATTGAATACAGATGGCCTTTCGTGAAGTCGCCGGGTTATATTTCAGGAATATGGGATAATGATGCCAGTTAATCATTTTTACAAGATATAAAATTACTGGCTCCTCTGGAAAGATCATTAAGAAAAACAATTGTTCACAGCAATTGACAATAGAGTTTTAATTATTTAATACAGAAATTAAACTATTAGAGACCAGTGTTGGATGCGGGGACTTAATAGAAATTTATATACAAGGGTCTGCGGGCCCTTTAGTTTATTAACCCGCCTAACATCTTAATCCAAATCAATCCAAAGCCTGTTTTAGCTGTGCCCGTGAACTGAGCCGGGAGAGGAGGGAGCCCCAGGTGCCCAGGCCCCAGGTGGATGGGGTGGGGCGGGGTGGCCTCCCCGGTGAGCGGGGACATTGCTGGGAGTCCCAGGCAGGGGCCAGGGGCTCAAGAGCCCGTGCCAGGAAGTGAGGACGCGGTGCCAGGATGAGTGGAGGCTGCCAGGGGCTGGCAAAGGGAAGGGCGCCAGGTGGCCACCTCAGGAGCATGGGCCTCGTCCGTGTCTGGGTGACACTATCCAGGGGATAAAGTGAGGGAGGAACGTGAGGTGTGGACACCGAGCCCACACCACCTGGGCCCAGTGACGGGGCACCTGGTGTGCCCGGGTCCTCAGCCCCCACTTCCCCCCGAGGAGCAGCCCCCTTGGAACAGGCCCCCCTCCGGGCACAGGGGACCCTGGGGCGTGAAGGTGGCCCGCTGAGGGTAGAGATGTTTTAAATGAGGATTCTGATTTTAAAAAACCACCTTGGAATGGACAGTCCTTCAGCGAAACTGCAGGGGGCTGGTCCAGACCCCACGGGAGTTCGAGGGGCAGAAAGCGGGCAGAGAAAAGATACCCATCAAATGGTGACCTTTGCTGTCTGCTGAGAGGACTTCATTGTCCAAATTTCCTACAATAAAAACACTCCTTACCTTTAAAATATGGGAATCACTATTGTCAAGACAATTAAGAAAAAAAGTAGAACTTTTAAAAAGGTGAATGGCGAGCAAGACACTCCCTGTCGGCCTGGGAGGGAGGGACCGGGACACAGACGGGCTGGGCCATTGGGGACCTGGGACTGTGGGTCTAGGTGCTGGGTGGGGCCAGGCCCCAGCGATGGGCAGTCCTGGGTCAGGGAGTCTGACGCTCCTGAGTAACCGGCTCAAGGTCACGGAGCCCGTCCAGAGCTCAGCCTGGACCAGAGCCGCCTGCCCTCGGCTCCCACCCCGACCCGCTGGCGGGGTCGGCTGGCTGGCAGTGTGGTCATCCGGCTGCCCAGCCCTGTCCCCCGCCCGTGTCCTTTGTGGGACTTGTCCAGAGCGTGCGGACTGGTCACCCTGTCTCACAGGGCTGCCCACCATGCGAATTACCTCCAGTCCCCTATTATCACCAATAAATTCAACGTGATCTTTCTTCTCCTTACAGTTTTTAGGGTTACATAAATTTCACCCACGTAATTTTTTCACGCTTGGATCTATTACAGAAAGCCACTTCTATTGTAGAAGTTAATTGATAATGTGATTTGTTATGTTGCTGGGACATAATTCAGAAAGTTATTTTAGCGCCTTTGATGCATGAAATCGCACTCACGTGAGGAGACACAGGGGAGGTGAGCAGTGAGCGTGCAATGAAATATCTCCAGAAGCTTTTACTCCTGTTGTCTGGGTGCGTGCCAACACCTCGCCACAAGAAAGCTCATATTTCCAACGCTGCTCTGATCCAAATTTATTCCCTGGTCATTAGTTAGCTTTAAAAAAAAAACCTGAGCAACTATGTGTATATATTTGGAAAAAATCAAACAAAAAAGGAGGAATCTCCACCTTTCAATATTATCAAAGATGAGCTTTAAAAACACTTTATATTGAATTAACTACAGATTCATGGAAAGCGGCATAAATAGTGCAGACGGTGGCGAACGGGAACCCAACCCCACACTGTGCTGTTTCCACAGGCTTGCGTGTGTGGGTGCGTGCACCTGTGTGCACGTGGATGCATGTGAGAGCCTGTACATGCACATATGTATACATGCATGTGTGTGTGTGCCCCCATTCTGCTTGCTGGCTCTCCCTGCCTTGTGCACCGCCCATCCCCACTGCTCCCCCTGCACAGCTCCCTTCAGCCCCCAGGACCTGCCACGGGGCGGGGGCATAGGGCGTAGGGCTGGCAAGTCCAGTGCTGGCCAATCAGCCAAGAGGTTTGGAGGGAGTGGGCATCCCCATCCAATCTGCTGACCCAGCGTGGGGCACACACGTGCCAAGGTCAGAGGGCCAGCAACGGGGCTGGCGGGGGGGGGGGGGGGGGGCACCGACCAGGTCTTGCTTTATGCCATCGTTTCCCCATCGCCTCTCCCCTGGTGAGGAAACGCATGGACAGAGCAGAGCCACAGAGCCGGCCCATGGCACCTGTTCATGCCACACCTGGTGCCTCTGCTCCACTTGGCTCCACAGTCCGGGTCCCGCTGCACACACAGCCCACCTTGATCTGGTGGTGGCGGGTGACCTGGGCTGGGAGGTCCTGGCTGCGAGGACAGGGCCATGCAGCCCTCAGGGCAGTGCCATGTGAGGACCTGTCCCTTCCTCTGCCAGGATGGGAGCCCACCCGAGTGGGGGGCTCTGGGGGGAGGGCTGGGGGCTCATTTCACACGGCCAGATGGGAGAAGGTGCTGGTGACGTGACTCCCAGACCCGAGGCTGGGCCCGGCCCCGCCACCACCCAGCGTCTCGGCCACAGACAGCACTCGCAGCAGCTGGGTTCCGTCCTTTACTGAAGCTCTTACATGGACAACAAAAGGGCCCAACAGTGTTCCTTGTCTCGGAACCGGCATGGCCCCCCCAGGACCACAAGCCTCGTCCCCAGGGACATCGGCCAGAAACGGTCTCCGGAGGGCACCCCTGCTGCTGACGGCTCGTGGGGGTGGAGACCACCCCTCCGCCAGGTCCCCGGGGAGAGATGCGCCCCCTCGACAGGGCAGGGTGGGGTCAGGTGTCCAGGCAGCCTGGGGTGGCCCCCGGTGCAGCCCTCACCCCACCTGCCTGCCGGGCCCCTCCTGGGTCCTCCCATTCCATGAGGGTCCCGGTGCAGAGGTGCAGGCAGACCCTGGGAGGGCCCTGGATGATGGTGGAGGAGGCAGGTGGCACGGGGGGCGAAGGGGAGGCACTCAGACCAGCAGGAGGGCCCGGGGGCGGGCGTGCAGGGGCGCAGCGGGCGGGACGGGAGCATCACACGATGGCCTGGTTCGGCAGCCCGTACAGGACCAGGTTGAGGCTGATGGAGGGCCACTCAGGGCGGTGCAGCTGTGGTCGGAGCATCAGCCTGTTCTTGGGGGTCTGTGGAGACTCGTCTGAGGGGAGAAGGGACAGGAGGCTCACCGGGAGCAGGAAGTCCGGGGCCCCAGCCCAGGGCCAGGCGCCTGGGTGGGCGGGGAGGGGGTGCTCCTGGCTCTGCCTGCGACACAGCCCCAGGCCTGGACGCTGCTGTGAACACACTCCCGGGCTTTCAGACTTGGTGTCACTTGAACCGTTTTAAAGACAAATCAGCGGATCTAATGGCCGGAGCTTCCCCTGAGGAGCCCAGAGGCAGGAGGCCGTGCGGGTGTGGAGGCGGGGACTCTGACCCTGCAGGTGCAGGAGGTGGGGGCGGGAGGCGGACAGTCTAGTTACCGTGGCTGACCATTTCACCAGCTTCCATCCTCTGAAGGAGACGGGCCACTTTCCCGGTTGTCTTGCCAAATGCCAGCAGATCTGGGGAAGAAATTCCACCTCAGAGACGTGGACCCTCCTTCCCGCCCCAACCCCCCCCCCCCCCCCCCCCCGCGGGCTTCCATGGAGGCTCAGGGTGTGGGACAGGCCGGCACCACGCACTTTCCCACAGGACGTTGGCCCTCAGCGCGTTGTCCTGCAGGGTTGTCGGCCACTGGTTCGCCAGGATGCTCTTGACCCCCACCAGGCTCAGCAGGATGGCCGTCTCGATGGGCTCCTCCAGGGCCAGCTGGGGGACACTGCAGGGGACCGAGCTCCCGTGGGACAGAGCCCGCTCCGTCCTCACCCCAAACAGCACCAAGGGCTGGAACGCGTATCTGGACTGACAGCTCTTCAAACTTCCCACCCCCAAACTTAAATGCCACAAAAAAGGCATTCAGATCCCTCTGCAGGGCACCCCCTGTGAGAGGAAGTCCAGGTCCCTGGGGTGCGCGTGCTGGGGGCACCCTCCCAACTGCCGGCCCTCTGGCTCCCGGCCCAACTCCAGCAGCCTCGAGGCTCCAGTGGCCGGTGGTCAGCTGCTGGGGCCCCCGAGACTTTGCAGGGAGGGTGTGGGAGCCCGTCATGGAGGCCTGGCTCCCTCTTGGGGCTCTGCCCACAGCTTGCAGGGGCACTCCCCCCCCCACTCCCCATGGGATGCACCCATCATTCATATGCCCCCCACACCCCCCAACAGCCTCCATAAGCCGGCTGCCAGCAAGGCCACCAGCACCTCTTGTGCTCCGAGGACTCCAGCGTCCGCCGCATGCTCTCGTAGGACCGGCTCAGGTCCAGCAGGACCATCAGCCGGCAGTCTGCAGGACACAGGCGGGGGGGGGGGGGGGTGCAGGCTGGCGTCTCCGGTGCAGTGACCACAGAAATAGCCCCAGCTGCCCGAGGCCTGGGTGTGAACTGCAGGCCCTTTTCCGGGTCACTGGCCGCACGGGTGCTCAGGGCGTTATCTGCTTCAGGAGCCCACACCTGTCTCAGCCTCCTTGTGCCCCGGGCCCCAGCAGGCCCTGCCCTGCGAGGGGGTCTCGGCTCCCAGCACGCCACCCCGACCAGGCATCTGGCTTGGACCAGGCACAGGGCGAGGAGTTGGTCGCCCTGGTCCCCATGCCCTCTGAGACAGGGGCCAGTGTCCAAGATGCACCGGGGTGGGCGTGCAGCGGCCCCACAGATCCAGAGGCCCACCCCGCTCCCAGGGTGGCCTGGCTGGGCGGCCCCGGGGGCAGACAGCTTTTACACACAGGCCTGGGGGGAGCAGTGGGCCTGGCGGTGCCGTGGCCCACAAGGCCTGTGACCTTCACATTTCTGGGCTGCCTGGCCATCCCGTCTGGGAAGGCTGGGGTCAGTTTCAAAGAAGCCCTGTTTCTACCTCCCAGGTGACATGCTTACGGGGTGGAGTGGGGTCCTGTCCTGCGTGGCCCCACGGCGTGAGTGGGGGGCTGGAAAGGAGACCGGGACAAGCATCCCCAGGCTGCCATCCATGGGGACAAGCACCCAAAGGGGAGGGGCCTCCTTGAGGGGTCCCTGACAATGCCGCCAGCCCCTGGCGGTGTCCTGGGGTGGGGGCGGAAGTTCAGACAGAGGGGCTGGTGGGCAGGGCGGGTGACCCGCGTGTGGCAGAGACGCCCCAGCCTCCCCGTCCTCCGCAGGCCCGAACAGGGAGGGTGACCCCCACCGCCCTGTGGGCTGCCAGGCCTGGAAGTCTAAATGGGGCCCCTGAGAGGTGACATCCCTGCCGAGGCCAGCCCTGTCCTGCGCCTAGTCCTCTGGCGCCCGCGGTCCTGGAGGAGAGGACCCGCTCACCTTCCAAGTTCATGGCAGCCAACCTTTCCACCGACAAGTGGGACAGGAAGTTCTCCATCCCGTAGAAGAAGAAGCCCTCGCAGCGGCCCAGCAGCTGCTCCCACTCGGCCTGGCTGCAGGGGAGGGGCTCGGTGGGCGGGCGGCCAGCCAGGGACAGGCACATGCGGGAGCCCCAGGGACACCCTCCGGGGATGAGATTTTAAAGCACAGACATTCCTCTCCGTCTTCCCTCCACCCCACTCGGCGGCTGAGACGCACAGAGCCTCCGGCACGCGCCCTCCCGCGGGGCCTCTCCTGGCTCTGACTCCAGGGTCCCTGGGAGCTGGTGCCAGCGAATCTCGGGAGAAGGGTGGGCCCCGTGTCCCTGGAGGGGACCCCATCTCACTGGGCATGGCTCTGGGAAGTGCTAGAGGGACACTTCCCTGACCCCAAGCAGCCCAGTCCCCGAGGGCACCCACAGGGCATGCCCGGCTGGACTGGTTGTAGGACCCTGTACAGGGCACCCCTGGGGGCCAGGTCCTCAGCTGTGAATCGGAATAAGGACAACCACGCCCTGATCCAGGCACCACGAAGGCCAAGGAGCCCAGAGTGAGATGAAGGAAAGTCAGGGGGTCACAGGACAGAATGGGGCCTGAGGGAGAGACAGGGGAGACGGGGAGGGAAGGGGCCCAGGTGGAGGCTGAGGACAGCGGCCCCCCGGGAAGAGCACCCCCTGGCGCAGGGAGCCCGCAGGACAATGTCCCGGGAACCCAGACCGAACCTTGGAAAGAGCTTTTTTCCCAGATGTCCCACCCATCGCGCGGTGAACGAGTCTTTGTATTTATCCAAAATTTCCCGGGTTACGGAGACAGGCAGCCATGTTCCTGCAATGAGAATGGAATGGAGACAAAACACAGAAGCTTCGTCACCAGCGTGGAGCATGCGGGGCTGGCTGCGGGACGAGGCGTGGCAGGTGCTGCACTCACTGCTAGTAGAGTTGCTGATCTCCTTCCCTCCCTCGAGGAGAGATTTGCAAAACCAGTTTCACCCCAAAAAATCCTATATAATAAAAGCGTAGTATGCAAACTGAGCCCTCTACCCAGAGTTCGACCAGGGGGCGGGGCCAGCCAGGGGAAGGAGAGAGGACCTGGCTGGCAGCCAGCAACCTCTAGGGGCCCTACTGGTGCACAGATTCTGTGCACTGGGCCTCTAGTAAAAAAATTTTTAAATCTCAGAATTAAATACCGAGAGCCTGGGGGCAGGAGGCCTGAGAGGAAGGAAAGCCCAAGCGCCCAGAGCTGCCCCGTGGGGGCCCAGGCCACGCCTGATGCCAAGGATGGGGTGTGGCGTGTGCATGTGCATGTGCATGTGCATGCAGAGCGGGGAGGGGCCGTGCAAGTGCTCACCTGGGCCCTGGGCCTCCTCGAAGGGGTCCACGACGTCTGGGCTTCGGTTAAGGAGAACCAGGACCGCAGGTTAGTGTTGGGCGGTGGGCCCGGCAAAGGATACACTTGAAGTTGTCCGCGTCGACTAAGATGGCGTCGGGAGGGATGACTCGGGGCGCGCTGCCCTGTGACGACAGGCTGGGTCGTGGGGCCTGGCTCCGGCGGCACCCAGGCCCTCAGCCCGCGGCCAGCGGGCCTCGCCCACCTACCTTCCGGCTCTTCTTCCCTGGGCCTCTCCTCTTCAACTCTTTGCCTTTGGAGCCCTTTTTCGTGGTCCGGTCTGTTGGAGACACGGAAGGAAGTGGTGATGCCGGGGGACGAGCCGGAGGCGGGTGCAGGACACCGCGGCCCGCCGGACGCCACTCTGCTCGCTTTGAAATGGTCGGTCGGATGTGGCGTGAACTTTACCTCAACACCAAAGCAAGGCGTAGCTCAGTGATGGCGAACCTTTAGAGCTCGGCGTGCCAGCATTTTGAAAAACCCTAACTTAACTCTGGTGCCGTGTCACAGATAGAAATTTTTTGATATTTGCAACCATAGTAAAACAAAGACTTACATTTTTGATATTTATTTTATATATTTAAATGCCATTTAACAAAGAAAAATCAACCAAAAAAATGAGTTCGCGTGTCACCTCTAACACGCGTGTCATAGGTTCGCCATCACTGGTGTAGGGCGAACTGCTCCTTTTACGTTTTCTAAATGTGCAATGGCAGTGGCACCTCCAATGTAAAGACTCAGAGGGCGGGGAAAGGCCTGGGCCAGGCCCGCCCACTGACCATGCGCACACCCCACTGGGCACCCCCTAGGGTGCCCGCCCCCCCCCCCCCGCGCCTCTCTCCGCACAGCCGGCCCCTGGAGGCCGCTCACTGTGGGTTCGGGAACAGTGACAGTCCCCGCCTGTGTCGGAAGCGCGGATGTGGGGTTCTCCGCCTTGTCCTGACTTTTTTTTTTTTCAAACAACCAGTTTGTGGCTCCATTTTCTCTTCTGCTGATGGCTCACGTGCTTGCTGTGGCCCGTCCTCTGCTTCCCTTGGATTTCCTGCGTTCTCGCTCTCACTTCCTCACTTAGCTGCTTACTCATGCGCGTCACACCGTGTCACTTTCTGATATAAACGTTCAAAGCCGAGAGGCCCTTCCGGGGTGACGGGGGCCCCTTCCCTGGGGACTTGCACTCAGAGGCAGCACCGCGGGTCCCCTGTGGCTTTTGTATGTTTTCCATTATTGATTTCCCCCCATTTCTCCCCTTTGGTTTAAACAGGTTTCTTTAAGGCACCCGACTGGGACTGGCACGTCACCCCTGCAGCGGCCTCGCCTGCACAGGTGGTCACAGGTGCTCCCTCTGTCCCAGCCCCTCTGGGCTCCACTCCCCTCTTTCCTGCCTTTGTTGGACTAACTGAGCGGTGTTTGCAGCTCGCCTCCCTTCCCCGCGGACTCGCGGTGACGGCTCAGTGGTGGCCTAGCCCCCCTCAGTGCGGTCCCCGCTGCCAGGTCTCCAATGTCTGAAAATTATTGCTTTGTGCCTCTCGTCGGGGGTTTTCCTTGTTTCAAGTCGAAGGGCAAATTTGGTCCTTGGGATTTCATCTTGGACAGCGGCAAAAATCCAATCTACTTATTTTCCATCGGATTCATGTTGATTGACGTGCGTGTTCCTGCGGAAATCTGCAGCGTGCCCAGCGAGGAGGATTCCCATGCACCACCCGTCTGCGCACCTGGCACCGCAGCGGAGCCTCTCCCCCAAACCCTCCCCCCCCCCACCCACAGGAGACAAGTTTGTGCGGCCAAGAGCAACCTTGACAGACACTGGCACACAGCAGGTGCGCTATAAAGATCTTTCTGGTAACTATGACAGGAGTTAGTGACCTCGCATGGTAAAAGCAAGCAGTTCCCTTTCAAAACGAACCCCCGGCCGGCCAGGGCCGCACTCACCTGCCTCCTCCTGGTGGAGGTGGTTGTAGAACATCTGCAGGGAGAACTCCCGGGACACGGAGGAGATGGCCCCCTCCCGGAGCGCCAGCAGGCCCTCCAGGGGCAGCTCCAGGAGCGGCCTGTCCACAATGAGGACCACGGTGTCCACGGCCTCAGGCTCCACTGGGGGCGGGAGGAAGCTGGCTGCCGGCGTGGCCAACCCTGTGGCAAAAGTCACTGCTGAAGCCACTGCCTGGCCGCGGTGGCCCCCCTGGCAGAGAGCAGGGCCCCAGGCATGTGGCCTCTCTGGGGGAGACACACTGGTCTGATGGTGCAGCCAGGCGGGGTCACAGGGGTGTCAGGTCTTCCGTGGCTCTGAGGACCGGACCGGCGTGGGTGGCCACTCCCTGAGGCAGGTCCTGGGATGACGTGGCTCCTCCCAACCAGGGAGCCCCCTTCCAAAGGACCGACATTTGCACAACCCCCTCCTCCCTCAGGAGGCCAGAGAGGGGTCGTGACCGCTGGGGCAGCCGCGTAGAGGGTCCTTTGGAGAAAGGCTTTTCCAGGGGCCCACGGAGCCCACGGAGGAGCCACGGCCCTGTCTCCTGGTAGAGAAAGCCCGCCCTCTCCAACACGCGTGGCGGTGCGGGGCAAGGCCCCGTGACTCTGCGCCTTACGGAGTGAAGACAGTGCCCTGGCCCCGAGCGCGGCTGGGCTTCTCAGATGCAGGGACTTGGGGGCAGAATCTCAGCCACAAAGTGGCCTCAGGAGGCCAAGCCCTGGCCTCGGCGCTGGCGTGTGGACGGGACTTGATTCGGACCCTCCAGCCTCAGTCGGGTGGACGGGCCCCCGGTGGCGCTCGGGGCCTCATCTCTGAGGGTCTGCACCTCGTGCTGTGGGCATCAGCACCCCGAGGAGGTCAAAGCACTTTTGACAAAGTAACTGCCCATTTCCCTCTGCTCAGCAAGTCTTTGTGGGGGAAGAAGGGTAGATGAATGAAGTGCCTTTTTAAAAGAGCCATTTATGGCCCCGGCCAGTTTGGCTCAGTGGTCAGAGTGTCGGCCTGTGGACCAACGGTCTCGGGTTTGATGCCCCGTCAAGAGCACATGCAGGACCGATTCCTAGCCCAGGTCAGGGCTTGTGCAGGGGGCAACCAATCGATGTCTCTCTCACATCAATGTTTCTCTCTCACTCTCCCCTTCCTGCCCACCCCCTTGCACTCTCTCTAAAAACCAATGGAAAAATATTCTCAGGCAGAGATTAAACAATAAAAATAAAAAAGAGCGACTTGTGAAATTAGGCACCAGGTGAGAGATGAGGCCCTGGCATACTCCTAGCGGGCCTCCCCAGCTGTGAGGGCAAGGGCTCTGCCTGCCAAGTGCCCAGGGCCATGAGCCACGGGCACAGGCTGCCCTGGAGCTGACCCCGTGGCCAGGTCGTGACAGAGGTGGTGGGGCACACAGCCTCTGAGGCCGTCCCAGCCACCAGTGGTGCCCAGCGCCCGGGGAGACGCTCGGAGGGGGGCCCGCAGCCCCGCCCGGCAGCTGCCAGCCCCCACGGCTCTCACAGGTGGGGCGAGTCCCAGGCCGGCTTCTTCACCAACAGCCATGGGGGCTCCTGAGCTCCAACGACTCACGGCCTTGGCGCCTCCCTGCCGCTGCCCCTCACCTGGGACGATGGACTGCTTCCGATCCTTGTCTTTGGGCTTTGCTTTCCCCAAATCCCCAGTGGTCGACGAAATGTGGATTCTGAAAGTCAAAGGTACACGTTCAGGTGTGAAAAATACTCGAAAACCATACACAGCAGGAACGCCAAGGGCATTTCTCATTAACGCAGCCAGTGCCCCACTAATGGGGGCCAGGGAGCTGCGCGCAGGCGCCAGCGAACAGGCTCAGGGCCCTCACTGACTGCTGCCCGGCCCCGGGGGTCCCAGGCCCAACCCCGCTGCCTGCTCTCCTGCCAGAAATACATCCACAGCCAGCCCCCTGCCCTGCTGTCCCGCCCACACGCCCACACCCCAGCAGACGGTGTGAGAGGAGCGGGCCTTCTTCCCAATGGCAGATGGCAGATGGGACAGAGCCGGGCATTCTGGGGGTGCAGGCATTCTGGGGGTGCAGAGACCCTCAGGAAGCACAGGGTGTCCCGTGGGAGCGGGAGCAGAGGAAGAGGGGGGTGGCTTCCCGCCCGCCCGCCTGCCCGGCACTCAGCCCACTGGGTGTGCAGAGCTCAGGCCCTGACGCCCAGAGAGCACCGGCGCGGGACCTGGGCTCGGGGCTGCGGAGCAGCGAGAGCAGCGGGCGCAGGTATTCCTCCGTGGCCTTCAGGATGTCGCTGAGTCTCAGGGGAGGGTACCTCTGCCTCTCAGGGTTCGCGCCTCCTGATTTCTGTCCAAAGCCACACAGCCCGTGATCAGAAGGTGCCAGGGGGCCACATGGGATGCATCTGGTTAGAGCAGAGTGTGGGGACCCACAGGGACAGGCCACTCCGGAGGCAGCCTGGTGGCCGGGGCCCAGCTCAGCAGCACATGAAGCACCTTGGACCCACCACCTGCCTCGGCACCAGAGTCCTTGGGCCCCACAGACCATGCTCAGTGATGGTCAGTTTCTCCCGCCACCCCTCTGAGAGCACCCCTCTTGGGCACCCTCAGCCCCACGGGGATCCTCTGCTCACAGCACGGAGGTGTCTGCATCAGACTGGGCTCAGGAATTCAAAGAAAAGTTAGCCCCTGCCCAGCAGGCAGGCCGACCTGGGTGTCCCGCAGTGCCTGGTCGGTGCCCCGTACTAGCTGAGGGGGTCCCTGCCCAGCTCCCCCCCATACTGCGGCCAGGCGGGGGTCCCGGTCCCCTGACGGTGTGGCAGCCCTGACAGCTGGGCTTGGGCTGGGGTCTCACCAGGCCGAAGATCAGGGCTCTGTCCCTGCTGCACACCTCAGCCTGGCTCTGCTCCCGGAACTGCTGGGCGCTGGCCACCAGGCCAGACAAGGCGGCCGGGCTCACAGCCACCCGCGCCACCCTGCAGGCGTCTGTGGAGACAAACACTGCCGCGGCCCCTCACCCAGTCTCGCAGACCCACCCTTGGTCGTGAACACGTGGGACTCCTGAGCAAACTGTGGGCACAGGGCTTCTCCACAAGGCTCGCCCGCCTGGGGGCGGACCCTCGTGCCCGGCCAGCACTGGGGTGGGGGACTGACCCCCTAAGGCAGGAGGATGGGCCGGGAGGGCAGGGGCCCGAAAGGCTGAGGGAAGAAGGGAAAACAGAAACGAGGCATTTGACATGGGCTGAGACGGCAGACCCGGCACGGGGTCAGCGTGGGCAGCTGGGCTAGTCCTCTGGCCCCAGGGGCTTCCCCAAGGGTCTGGTCCTGGCTGTGGACAGAGTCCTGGTCACTCAGGATGAGCTTCAGAGACGGTGCAGGGGTCGCCCCGCTGGTGGCTGGGGCTCTCCACTCTGCGATGCCTCCCACCAGACTGTGCTGAACCTGCCCAACCCCCGGGGGGTGAGAGGAATGGAGTGTGGGGTCCCCACACCCACAGGAGGAACATGTGTCTGGAGGTCGCAGGTGTGCCCAGCGCTGGGTCAATACCTGCTCCGGAAACTCACCCCCGACTTGGACCAGCTTCCCTTTGGCTGTGGGGATGAACTTGGGTTTCTCATAGACAGCACCATACAGATGGGTCCTGCGAGCAGGAGGCATGGTGCAGGGTAGGGTCAAACTCCAGCTCGTAGGGTCCCAGAGCAACCCCAAGACACAGCTTCTGTGAGCCACGTGCACCCCCAACAGGAGCACCCTCCCCACCAGCGCCTGGCGAAGTCAAGATGCAGAACTAAAACAGGCCCATGTGGACACAGCTGTGAGCCGTCGGCGGCCTCTGCCGGGGGCTGGGCCAGCCACCTTCTCTCCAGACAAGCGAACCGGTTCTGCCCCACGTGAGTGGTGACCCTCGACACACAGGGCCCCCCTACGGTCAGGAGGTGGCACCGTGGCCTCCAGGACCCTGCTGTGCGTGGGGAGCAGGCATAAGAATAGGAGTCGGCCTACCTGTCAGGGGAGTGGTGCAGAGAGAGGATCCGAAAAGTGGGAGGAATCTCATTTAAGTGGTTAAAATGTTGTTCAGTGACCGAGAGGTTCTGCCACGCCTGTATGACAAACAGAGATCAGCGAACCCCTGTGCGGTGTGGGGTGGGTTGCTGGCTTCATCATCATCTCTGTTGAGGAGACAGACCAGCAGGGGGTGGGGTGCAGGGGGGTGAGCAGGGTGGCCGCCGGGGTTCTGCCTGGGCTGGGGCTGAGGCAGGAGCTCAGCATAGCTCATGGCCACCACAAGGGGGCAGCAGATGCACACAGAATTACCTGGCTCTTCACTAATGTCAGAAACCTGATCTGCATGACCCAAAGCACACGTGCATGCAGACCAAAATAGTGCAGCCTCTTCCCTGAGCCTCCTCCCGCCAGCACACCACACACGCAGCCACGCACGCGCACGTGCACAGTCAAGGGCACAGATGCACATGGTTTCGTGTGCACACGCCACCCCGTCCCCTCTCCCTGCCGTCAGCCCTGTGTCCCTCCTTCCCTGGGGCCCAAGCACTGACAGGTCGGACAAAGGCCAGAAGGTTCCAGCTGCCTGCTCTCCTGCACGCCACCCCCTACCCCCTGAGCTGACCACTCACTTCTGCTTTCTGATGAAATGAGCTTCAAGTGTGCAAAAGCTGACCAGGGTTCAAGGGCATCCCCAGCTCAGTCACCTTGGAAATGGCAGCCAGCCTCTGCTCCACACCGGCAAACTGGCTGGTGGAGGTCCGCTCCTGGAGCTTCAGCCTGTTCTCCAGATGCAGCAGGGCCGCCAGCTGCGAGCTGCTGGTGTTGGCCGTGGCCGAGAGCAGGACGCCCCGCATCATCTCTGAGACTGAGCAGCTCTGGAACAGACCGAGAGAGTGCGAGGGCCAGGCCCGGCCAGGCTCGTGGGCCCACCGGACATGGGGAAGAGGGGCCTGGGCTCAGGGGAACCTCAGGAGGATGGCCTCTCCTCTAAGTGAGCACCGTCCTTTACACAGGCCCCAGCCACAGCCCAGCTGGTGCTGGCAGAGCCACCAGCAGGAGAGGCACAGGGTGCTGGGGCCTCCCTCCCTTCCCAAGGTGGCCCGGAGGGTGCACAGAGCAGAGCCACACCTGAGACAGCATCAGGTACTGGCAGGTGGCCGTGGGGTCCAGGGTGCCAATGCACTCCACCATCTCCAGGCTGGCGGCCCTCGCAACCTCCAGGAGGCTGTTGCCCAGGGCGACCTGCAGGCACTGCAGCAACACCTCAGTCGCCTGGGCCAGGTACTGCTGGGCCAGCACCTTCCTCCTCTGCGGGTGCAGGCACAGGCTCAGGCTCAGGCCCAGGCTGGCTCTTCGGGTGGGGCAGGCGTGGCAGGCGGGCGGGCGGGCAGGAGCAGCTTACCTTCAGCTCTGAGCTTTTCCTGCTCCGCTCCTCAGGGACCATCCTGGAGGCTGGCTGGCTGCTGCCATGCTCATCGCTGTCCACCTCGTCCGGGGTTATCACCAGATACTTGAGGCTGCTGTGCTCTGTTCCCATCTAGGGGACATGCCTCCAGTCAGCTGGCATTTGTCGAGACACTGCCCAGCCCCAGAAGTGCCTGTGGGTCAGGCGACTCTGCAGGATCCCCCGAGAGGGCCCGGCTGGCAGGTGCAGCCGGCGGGGAGCAGCTCTGGAGAAGCGAGCACGGGCGGCACAGGCCCCGATCGGTCGCATGCCGTACCCACTTCCCTTCAGTCCTGGAAATCCAGGCTCCCTGAGCCGCAGTGCCCAGCAGCCCTGTGCAGCTGTGACCCAGTGAGTCAGGTGCCCGCCTGCCCCGGGGAGCAGGGGACCATGAGACTTGTGCCAGCCTGTCTGTAGAACAAGCCACCTAATGGGGTTCTTTGGGATGCAGTAGGCCCAAGCGGACTTGGGTTGAGGGGAGCCCTGGGTTTGTGGGGTCATGGTAGGCAGGGCCAGGGGAACCTGGGCTGGGAAGGAGCTGGATCGGGGTGGGTGGATTTCTTGAAAGCCCTGCCTGGCCATCTGGGAGTGAGTGCACGTTTTCCTGACAGCCCTCCCAGGGGGCTGTGAGTGCCATTTCATGGCCAAGGCCCCAGTGTGGACAAGGGGCGTGGGTCTACCTCCACCTGACTTAGGCCGCCTGTGCAGGTGCTCAACAAATGCCGGTTGAACAAGGGGCCAGACTCCATTAGTTCACCCAAATGTGAGTCCTACCCTAGGTCCTAGGGACAGAGAGCCCACAGGAGCTGATGGGGCCTGTGTACCAGGCTGGACAGGGAGGCAGGGGCACCAGGTCCAAATCACACGGGGTGCGGAGCCATCTGCCTGGGGCCAGAGGGTTCCTCCTAAGGGACCGGGTGTGGGGCCCAGCCTGGCTGCCCCAGGGGTGGAGGAAGGGCAGCTGCAGAGGCATTTAGGACAGTGACCTGCGTGGCAGCGCTGTGCCCAGTTCCTACTAAGGGGTCGTGTGCACCCATGGGCACCGAGCTGCTGGGCAGCCTTGCCAGGGGCTGGAGAGAAGCAGGGGCCTGCATGACCACGCGGCCGGTGGGCGGGGCTCAGCGCTCGCTTGTGCTTCCCTGGACCGTGTGCCTAGCACCTGCGTCCAGGCAACTCCAGACTGCGGGGCGGAGAGCTGCTGAGGTCGGGGAGGTAGCGTGAGCTGGGATCATGTTTGGGGCGGGGACCCCCCACGTGCGCCCCTCTCTCCCACCTCCACTTTATAAAGGGACAGACGGCTCTCATCCATTGTCTGTTCTCAGAGGTTCGCCTTTCCTCCCCGCCTTTCCTCTCCTGTCCCAGGGGTCCCGCCTTTTCTCCCCGCCTCCAGCCACACCACCCTTCTTAACTGAGGACAATCGGAGGCCTAGTTCATGTCCTGGTGCTGCGAGCAGGGGCGTTTGAAATGCTTTGTTTGCGTTGTTGGAGCACAGACAGTGGGTTGGCGCCAAGCTAGAAGCGGGGGCACGTACCAGGAGGCTCTCCTCCCAGTAGAATATGGGGCGCACAGGGTCCACCTGCATGGCCAGCAGGCGCAAGGCCCTGCCCACCAGGCCCAGGAGCCGCGCGCGGATCTCCACACAGCTGACGCTCAGCAGCTGCAGGCTCCCCAGCTGCGCCAGCGCCACGTGGGCCAGGATCCGCTTCAGCGTGAACCATCTCTTCAACACAAACCACGTTAGTTACCCCCCCATACCCCCCCCAGAAAACGCAATAGGCCCACCCTCCAACGCCCCCGGGGCCACCCCGAACACCCCTGGGAGTGGGGACACAGGAGCCGTCTGAGAAACACCCCTCCTCCCGGTGGGGAGGGTCTCCAGGACTTAGGTTATGGGAGGGTCGCTAAGGTTTGCATGTCGAACCTCAATTTAGGGCTCAGTGACAAGCACGAGTTTGTATTCAGTTCAATTTTAGGACTATCGTTCATCCATCTATAGTTATATCAAATTTATTTGATTCGGAATGCATGAAATCTAAGAAAGTGTCTAAAATGGCAGAATGATTCCTTTGAAACAAATAATTTGCCAATTAAACTTTTTTTTTTTTTTTTTTTTTTTAACAAAATGTGATTCATCTTATGGACTTTTTCAGGCGCCGGCAGAATGGTCAGAGCAAACTCAGAACTCGGGAGGAAGCTCATGCGCTCGGGAAACATCCCCCATGTGACCTGGTTTCGTGAGCCAATGAGGTTCCCTCAGATGACCAGGTGAGGCCCTTCCCCAGCAAGGCTGGGGACCCCCAAGCTGTGGGGGCCGCGGGGGGCCGCGGGGCAGAGATCTGAGGGGTGTGCACTGTGAGCTCCGGGCCTGACTCCCGCTGGTTCGTCCTCTGCTCAGAGTGGCAGAGCCCCCATCACAGCACGACGGCCCACGCGGACGGGCCCAGGCGGCGGCGGTCATTACCAGGCCGGTGGTGGTCAGGTCGCTCACGCTCTGCAGGTAGTCGGCCAGCAGCTTCTCCATGGAGTCCTGCCGCAGCTCGTGCTCCAGGGGCTCCTCCCAGATCAGCTGAAACATGTCCAGGTACACGTCCACCAGATTCAGCTTGAGGTGCGCCAGCTTCCTCGCCAGGGGCGTGTTGACGTTCTGTAACTGACACGTTCGGGGACACGTCAGACCCCGGAGCCCCTGGCGAGGCTCAGCGTCCGTCTGCTGCTTTGACGAGGCATCACTGACGTGTTGCTATGTTTTCACGGACGAAGACACCCAAAGAGCCATCACCACAATGAAAAAAGGGGACGTCCCCCTCACACCCCACATTCCCTCCCTCCCACCACCCCACTCTCCCTGAACCCCAGCTGCATCCCCGGGGCCCCAGGCAACCTCCCCTGGGTCAGCTCCCCCCGGTGGCCACAGGGAGCGTGGGCAGTTCAGGCTGCCTCTTCTCCGGGTGACCACAGGGGAAGACCAGTTGTGGCCCCGGGTCCGGGACACACACTTACGTCTTGAAGGGCCAGGAGGCTCTGGACACTGTGCAACAGCTCCTCCTCCTCGGCCACGGCGCTCTGCGCCACGTCGTAGGCCTCCCGGTAGTACACGGCCCTCTGGTCCTCGTCCGGCTCCAATTGGGCGCACAGCCTTCCCAGGACACAGGGCAGGCGGCAGAGACAGAATGTGCAGGGTGACTGCACTGTGCCTGTATTAGTGCTTCGCATGCAATGAGGCGATGTTATACATGTACAGATATTATCAACATATCTGAACACGACAGTGCAATCACCTCCCTATAGGGGCACGGGCACCAGGCGCCTCCCACCAGGCCCAGAGGGCCCCACAGCGTCGGCTGCCTGTCCCCTGCTGTCCCCAGGCTGTGTCTGCATGTCTGAATTCCCACAACGACCATCTACATCTGTTCCCGTGAGGTGACTGACATTCCGTACACGTCCAGGTCCTTTCCCTCCTCAAGGCTGTTTGAACACCTGACATGCGTGTCATGGAGCATGTGGGTCCCAGGGTGGGGAGGGGGCGTTTCCCGAGGCTGTGCTCATCTCTCTGCGGGGCTGTGCGCGAACACATGCGGGCGGGCGGGCGGGCAATGTGTACACATGTATGATGCATGTCTGCACGTGTGAGGTGTGGCTGGAGGATGTGTGTGGGTGTGTGACCGCATGTGGGCCCTGGGGGCGGGCTGCTGCCTGTGGTGTGGGTGGTGGGAGGGCTGTGTCTGGGGTGGGGGTGGTGGGCGGTGAGGCGTGTCTGTGTGTTTGCAGAGACTGGCAGGTGGGACACCCGGGGGCAGGACAGGAGCGAGGACACCCGTGACGAGCTTTCCTTGAGGGGCACCCCAAGTGGCTGCACACCCCCAATGTGGGCATCCCCACGGGAGATGCAGGGGGCCACGGGGCCGGGGCCAGGAGGAAGCCCTATGGGGCCAACGGGGGCTGGTAACAGGGAGGAAAGCTAGTGGGGTCGGGGGGGGGGGGCAGGGAGAGGGGGATGAGCGGCAGCGCGAGGACCCGAGGATGGAGAAGGGCCTGTGCAGGGACGCAGCCGGGCCGGCGGCCGGCACGGGGCACCTGGCACCAGCGCCCGGCACGGGCCTGCAGGAGCCTCCGGGGACAGCTCCCCCCACCGGCGGGACCGGCGGCCAGCGCTCACCTCTTTATCTTCCCCCGCTCCAGCTTTATGTCCACACAGTTCTCTTTGTAGCCACAGTTGACAAACTTTTCCTCAATTTCCAACAATTGATCATACAGCTCGCTCAGCAAAAACGGGAATTCCGACGATTCGCTGCCCACCGACTCCTGGGCGACTTGGATCCGGAGGTTCAAGCTCCTGTGGGGGCGGGAGGGGCACCCCACTCTCGGTCCCGCTGACAAGTGGCCGACGTGACACGGGCCGAGGGGACACGCCAACGGGTCTGGGACGCGGCGGCCGTCCCCGTGGAGCCACCAGGGCCTCCACCTTTCACCCCCGACGCCGGAAGGAGCAGAAGGAGCAGAAGCCGCACCCTTCAGTCACAGGACAGTGCAGCTAGGCAGCCCCCGCCCCCAGGTGTCCGTCGGGAAATCAGAGCTACGCTGGCATGCGGGGCGCGTGCCCAGGCAGGAGGCAGGAGGCGTGTGGACTAAGTGGGGGACGCGGGGTGGGAACGAGGAGCGCCCCAGCAGCCTCTCGCCAACACAGAACGAGAACTGGACAAAGAAGAGGCAGAAAATAGGGGAATCCAAAATGGACAAAATCCCTGTTGCTTTGGCCAATGGCACAAAAGCGGCTTCTTCGAAACAGTCAGATGCACGGGATTCTGCGATTCTGAGGCCGAGGAGGAGGCGGACAGACCCCAGGGGCGGCCGGGGTAGAGGGTATAAGAGAGGCTGTGAGCATCTCCGTCACCAGACCACCAGGATAAGGGCTCAAACACCAGCCTAGAGTCTGAGAGACGAACAGTGAGGGGGGAAGAGCGCTGCTGTTCAAAGCTCTGTCCCCAGAGCAAAGCCCAGGTGGGTGGAGAAAGCCGGGTGCTGTCTCCGGGGATGGACAGGGGGCTCTGAACACCAGCCAGAGCAGAGGAGGGGAGGCGGCTGCGTCCCAACCCAGCACAGCCCTGCCATGGATGGAGGAGCACCCCCACCCCCAGCGCCCAGCTGGTGGTGCCCGGCCCTCCACCCATGAGAGGCCCCAGGAAGCCCACGCGTGCTCGGGGGCAAGGAGGGCAAGGAGGGCCGTTCCCCGAGAAGTCAGGAGCGTGACGAGGCCACCTGCGTCTTTGGAAGGAAATACACGCTGCTCCGAGGGGCCCACAGCCCGAGTGGCCGTGAAGGAAGGCGCATGGTTCCTCAGAGGTGTGAGGGGTGCACAGCTGCTGGGGGGGGGGGGGGTGTGACTGCGTGGCCCCCGGTGCGAGTCCCTGACCTCCACCTGGCCGTGAGCACGCTTCCCACAGGAGCTACCTGGCCTCCAGGTCTGTGGTCATGAATTCCAGGACGGGTGCGCGGTTGGGTCGTTGTTTCTTGAGCACCTTGAAGACCTCGATGAGCCTCTGGAACAGCTGGCAGGCCTGGGGTGGGGGCGGGGGGAGGCGGGGCGCACACGGGCGTCAGCGGGGCTCCAGCCCATGGCCCTCCCTGCTGAGCACAGCGCTGGCCTCTCCTCACCATCACTTCTTTTCCTTCCTTTTCCGTGGACAAGAGCGTGTCTGCCATAGTCAGCATGGACTGGTACCAGAACTCCTCGCCACCGCCCAGGCGCTGCGCAAGCTCAATCATCTTCCTGGCTTGGCCGTAGTTTTTCTCCTTGTTGGCCAACTGGGCCAGCAGCTGCAGGCATTTGGCTTCTGCACAAGGATCCTTAAGCTCCTAAGAAAAGACAAACATATATGGAGACAGGATGGGGGAGTGAGCAAGAGAAGGACTTAAATAGAGACAGAGATAGAGAGACAGAGACAGACAGAGAGACAGAGGTGGAGCGACAGAAAGGGGGACAGACAGGAGGGCAGCGGCTCCGGGCAGCAGGCCTTGCCACACCTGCGTCCCGCACTGGGCGCTGCTCCAGCCCTAAGGCACCTGTACACTTGCCCCAGCACAGGGTGGGCTTGAACCTGTTGTGCTAAAACCCACCTGCAGGACTCTGGACCGTGGTCAGAGCCCTGGGAAGCCCCCCTTCAGCAGCTGCTCCAGCACCCTCCAGCCATCCTGGGGCACAGCTGAAGGGCTCCCCCGAGGCCTCGGCCCCCAGGCTGGGAGTCTCCTTCCTGATGCTGGCCCAGGGCTGCCTCCGTCTTCCGTGCACCGCACATGTCAGGAGGTGTGGGGCGGGAGGGTGGGGCGGGGCCTCGCTGGCCTCTGGACTGAGCCCAGGCTTTGAGGCAGGGAGAAGCCCGGTGGCTGGGCCTCGAGAGAGCAGCCAGCAGGCAGCTCAGAGGCTGACACAGGGAGGCGTGTTGGGCTCAAACCTCTCCTCCCAAGAGCCACAGCCCCCGAGGGGCCAGCGCAGGCTTGGGTGCGACTGTGGTGGGACAGGGCTGGAGTGGGGAGCGCGGAGGCGGGCACAGAGAGGAGGTGGGTGTGGAGGCTGAGCACCTGCTCAGAAAGCAGGGACAGCGCCGGAAGCTGGTGGGTGCAGCTGGAGGGACCGGTGACAGCTGGGCTGCTGTGAGGACACAGGGTGGGAGCAGGCGCAGCCTTCCCCAGGAGAGCATGGGGACAGGGCCCAGTCCCTGCAGACACCCATGGAAGAGCCAGAGGAGGGCAGAGCCCCAGACTCTCAGACATGAGTGGCTGGTTGACAGGGTGGCCTGGGGAAGAGGCTGAGACAGAGCAGCCAAGAGATGCCTGCCCACACCTGTCCCTGTGCCTGAGGCCTGCACACACCTGTCCCCGTGCCTGTGGCCTGCACACACCTGTCCCCGTGCCTGAGGCCTGCACACACCTGTCCCCGTGCCTGAGGCCTGCACACACCTGTCCCAGTGCCTGAGGCCTGCACACACCTGTCCCCGTGCCTGAGGCCTGCACACACCTGTCCCAGTGCCTGTGGCCTGCACACACCTGTCCCAGTGCCTGAGGCCTGCACACACCTGTCCCCGTGCCTGAGGCCTGCACACACCTGTCCCAGTGCCTGAAACTGAGATCAGAATGTCCTGAGGCTTTGCTGGTGCCACTGAGTCTTTCCATGTTTATTAGGGACTTTCCTCTCTCTGGAGTTCTTCACAAGTGACTCTCCCAGGGAATACACTTCTGTCTGCAGCATGGAGAGCACCTGACGCTGGCAGGAGGGACGCACACCTGGGCCTCCACTCCGTCCTGGATTGCCCCCCAGGGCATCCCCTCGTGGGAGCCACAGCCCAGGAGGAAAGCAAGGGCCCAGCTGGAGAACGAGACCCCAGAGAGGCCACAGACACCCGCACTGGGACAGGTGTGTGCAGGTCTCAGGCTGACCTCCAACGAGTGAGAACGAGTTCATGGGGGTTGCGGGGGGCGGGGGGGGGGGGGGCGCTGGCCCGTCTGCCCTGGAGGAAGGACAGAAAGGGACCCTCCAGGTCCTCACCCTCACCCCACACGCACCACTGAGATGCCCAAAAGGACAGAATGGGACCCTGCAATGCAAGAAAGGACCCAGGGCAGCGTGGGAGCAGGCCCTGCAGGAAACTGGGCCATGGGTACGGGACGACCAGGAAAGTAGACAAGGGCATGAAAGGCACTTTCCACAGAGTAGCACATGCGTGTTCTAGACCCGGAAGACCCCAAACTCGCTTCCGGACATCCAGGCGCTGCCCCAGCGGTGGGTGCGGGCGGCGCAGGTGCCGGCGGCCCTACCTGGAAGGCCTGCTGCGCCTCAGACAGGAGCAGCCTCGCGGGCTGGTACGAATCCATGTCAAGCAGAACTTCCGCTTTGAGGGTCCACAGGAGGGGAAAGGATGTGCCTTCCAGGCCCCGCCCCGTCTCTCCGTTCATCTTCAGAATCTGTAACACACCGAGGCCAGCTCTGCCTCTGATGTCCAGGTCTGTGCCTGTCGCCCGAAGCCCAGCTTTCCTCCTGGGCACCTGTCTCTCCTCACCCAACCAAGCCACCCCCAGCTGCCTGAGCCGGGTCCGGGGCCGGCCCTCCTCCCGCCCGTGCTCCGGGCCCCCTCTCCTGGCCCAGGCAGCACCCTGACCGGCGTGGGGCAGGTCGCTGAGCTCCAGCAATTCAGCATGACCACAAGGGGCCCTCTGCCTCCTGGTGCAGGTCCCACACAGCCCGTCCCCAGCAGGAGCCTGCACACCCCAGGTCCTGTCTGGCGTCTTCCCACCAAGTCTCCACTGTGGTGGCTGTGAGTGCCTTCCTAATGGGCCAGCCCACGGGAGGGGAGCCCACGGAGCAGAGGGAGCGCGGGAAGTGGTCAGACCCACAGACGCTCTCTGGCTGCGAGGGCCCCGCCCTTCCCAGGCCCGTGCTCTGCACCCCTCAGTCTGCACCCCTCAGTGCCACCCAGGCTGTCTTCTCTGAATCGCTGCTCGGGCCCTACAGGGCCCTTTCTAGGTTGGTCTGTAGTCTCGTCTTCCCCGGGGACCAGCAGGGCCATGGAGGGGACACATGCCATCCGTCCCTGGAGTTCCCAGGACACCCCCGCACAGGGCTTTGGGCGCAGCGCAGTGGAGACAGGCACCGGACAGCTGCAGCCCTGAGGGCCCCCTCGCTGGGCGGGCAGAGCCCGGCTACCTGGTCCTTCGCCACGAGGGGCCGTATCTCCCCTGGCGGCACGGCAGGCAGGGGCTCGGTCAGCGTCGGCAGGCTTTCTTCTAGCAACGGCTCCCTGGTCTTCTCCTTCCTCAGGGCAATCTCCTTTCTGCAGCTAACGTGAGTGAAATGGGCAACATGGTGAAGAATGTTGTTTCACCAGCAACCAAAGATTTTTAAAATCCCCACAATCGGCAGCACCGCACAGGACTCCAAACCCACGCTTCTCGCCCATTGTCTCTCCCACTCCAGGTTCATGCATCCAGCGGTGCATCTGCCTCCTGCCCTGGACGTCCAGACAGAGCTCTGCTCGCCGAGACGGGCCAGGCTCCTGTCAGGCCCGCCTCCCCCGCGTGCCCTCCGCACGCACGCCCGCTGCCCTCGCCTTCGCCTTCGCCTTTGCCGCTGCACCCAGACCCATGAACATTCTGGGTCCCTGGTCTCCCCTCCTCTTGCGCCGTCGCAGCCTGGGAGATGCCCGCGCACAGGAGGGTCAGTAAGTAAGAAGCTGCACCCCAGCAGAGCACCCCAGACCCTGATCCCCGGAGCTCTGTACCCCTGGGTCCTCCCAACACCCACTGTCCAGCGTGCTAGGCGGTGGGGGCCGGGGTGTGGAGGGATGCAGGGCGCTGCGGCCACAGACTCCTTCCTCCTCGCGAAGGGGCCACGCTGAGCTTGGCAGCAGGACGCAGCTGGGCCCCGGCTGCACCCACCTGGACTGCTCCGAGTCCCCGATGTAGACCTGCCCCACCGCGTCCTCGTGCAGGGCAGCTGCTTCTCTCAGCTTCAGGTCGGAGCAGACCAGGGCGAGCCTGGGGAGGGGACACAGCAGGCCTGTCGGGCTGCACTGCGCTCCGTGCACTCGAGAAAGAAACGCACAATTCGATGGTATTTTCAATAATTTTTCAAGCTAAACAACATTACCAGGGAAAAGGAAGAGGCGGCTCTATCCAATTCCAGTTAGAGAAAAACTGACACCTTCGTTTGTATCTTTGACTAAATGCAGGTCCCCAATCTTGGGGCCGCCTTGTCCGAGGTGCAGACCAGGCACACGGTGGCGCCCTGACCGCCCATCACCGCCATGTCCTGCTTTAGCTCTTATGAAAAACAACTGAAAACGCTGCCATGGAAGCACAGGTGACACGCAATATTACAGCAGTTTCAGGGACGACATGGTGGTTTGACACTGATGTTCCTTACGATGTGATCCCCTCCCTAAGTCACAACCAACCATCTGTCACTATGCAAAGTGGCTGTTTATTTTTATTTTTGCTAATCCTCACCTGAGGATATTTTTTCCACTGATTTCTAGAGAGTAGAAGGCAGGGAGGAGGTGGGAGAAGGAGGAGGGAGGGAGAGAGAGAGAGAGAGAGAGGGAGAGAGAGAGAGAAACATTGAAACATTGATGTAAGAGAAACATCGTTTGGTTGCCTCCCACACATGGCCTGACCAGGGCCTGGGATTGAACCTGCAACCCATGTACGTGCCCCTGACCAGGAATCGAACCCAAGACCCCTCGGTGGGAGGACTGATGCTCTAACCACTGAGCACACCAGCCAGGGCAGTTGCTGTTTATTTTGAAAGGATTTGAAGCCCGCAGAGAAGTCGCACAAACCCTACAAAGATCTCCCTGGAAGGGAAGCGGGGATACCGACCGGAGGTGGTAGAGATCTTTGAGGCTCTTGCTGTCCACCACGCAAGCTGAAATCAGGACACCCAACTGCAGGACCGGGATCGTGAGCTCATGGAGGTACATCTTCTTCAGGGCCTTGACCAGATGGTCCAAAAAATACAAAGTGTACGTCTGCACAAACACACAGCAAACGTGGACGGTCAAGGGGGAGGCAGGCTGGCCCGCTCGCCCACGGCGTCTTTCTCTGGAGAACGCTGTCCTCCTCAGCGCCACGCACCGTGCCTGGCACACAGCGGCTGTCCCACAAGTGCTTGCTCAATGAGTGAACGAATGACCTCCTCCCTCCTCCCCTCCTGCATGAATAGCTCCCATTTTGTCGTGTGCAATTACCTATACTCACCACACGCGCAAGTACAGTTAAAGATTCTCACAAGAAACAATCCATTTATGAATTTATTCAAATTAATGTTTTTGTTTCATTTATTTTTCCACTAAAAACTACCAATCCATTAAAAGCAAAATTTCTCTTTTTTCTTAAAAGAATTTCTTTACGAAGACACACAACTAATACTTCTTATAATGTTGCACTAGATTTGATAAAAAATAATTCATCTTCAGTGGAAAATTAGAAAAGTTGGATGAACTATTTTAAAAACCTACTTAAAAGCACTGAAAGAGGGAACATCACTGAGAAAACCTACTGGGCCAGGACCTGGAAGGAGGCAGGTATTCGGGGACCCTGACATGTCGGGGTGCACTTGCCATGGGCTGTCTGCTGCTGGAAGAGGCAGCCAAGAGGCTGAATGGTGTCTCTGACTTTGTTTGTGGGGTTGAGGGCCCCCGAAAGCTCAGTGCCAGGTTGGGTCCCCGCAGGGCTGCACCGCACGGCTAGGGGTGTGGAGGAGTGCAGCCCTCTGGGGGCGCCACCCCAGCCCAGTGGCCTTGGGTGGCCCGGAGAGACTGATAGTTGATGACGCCCAGTGAGGCCGGTGGAGAACCAGGGGTGGGAGAGACACGGATATCTCACAGACCCCCCACACACCGAGAGATCATAAAAGGGCGTTAAGAACAACACGAAGCCAAATGGAAACATCCAAGAAAAACGCAACCCACAAAAATCATTACAAGAATAGAACTCTGAGGACTTCTTAACTATTGAGTGAATTGGATCCATCATTTTAAATCTTCCCAAATAGAAGCTCCGGGCCCAGAAGGCCTACCCAGAAGTCCATCCAAACCAGTGGGGCGGGAGCCCGTGGGGCGAGAGCTTGTGGGGGAGAGTACAGCAAAGATGCCCGCGCTGCCCTCCACCGAGCCTCCATGCGTCACAGCCAGATCTCACGGGGTTTCCATGGAATCAGAGCAGCCGACGTGGGAGCCGGCCGGGAGATGCACGACCAAGGGCCACGCTCTCCACCGGCACACTCGGGGTGTGCGCTCAGCATCCAGACCCTGCGACAACGGCATGTGTGGCTGGCCATCCGCCTCCTGACAAATGAGGCACCCCAAGAAGGGGAAACGGCTCTTCCCCAGACTCACACACACCAACTTCAAGTGGATTGCAGGCCCAGCTGATGTGCTCAGTGGTTAGGCATTGACCTATGAACCACCAGAAGGTCACGGTGCGATTCCCGGTCAGGGCACATGCCCGGGTTGCAGGCTCAGTCCCCAGTAGCGGGCGTGCAGGAGGGAGCCGATCAATGAGTCTCTCTCATCATTGATGTTTCTGTCTCTCCCTCTCCCTTCCTCTCTGAAACCAACACAAATATATTTAAAAAATAAATAAATAAAATGTGGGCAATGGACTGGACAGGGGGCCACACAGAGGACACCGTGGCCACAGGCATTGCGAGGTGCCAGGCCTCACTGGAGCCACCTGCACAGGCGCCACACGTCCACCCAAGGGCCACAGCTGAGAAGGGGAGCCACAGTCGGGTGGGGATGTGGCAGCAGGAGCTCTTGCTCCCTGAGGGGTGTCACTGACACAGCCACTGTGGGAGGCACTTGGCGATGCCCATTGAGGTTGGAGGCACACATGCCCCGCGACCCGCAAACCCTGCTGGTGGGCGTGCCCTACAGACCCGTGGGCACCGACTCCCACAGTGGCCTCACCTGAGGAAGCCACCCCTGAAACCACCCAAATGTCCGTCCACAGTGGGAAGGACACGGGGATTGTGGTCCAGGCGGGCAATGGAGTGCTCCAAGCAGCCAACCAACCAGAGCCACAAGGGAGCCAGCCCCCAGGCCTGCCCCCACGTGACCCCCAAGATCACACACGGGGTGACTCCACTTTTTAAAGCACAAGAAACACGCAGGATCACGTAGGCTGAACAAGGCCCCCAAAGTCACCAGGTGTGTCTCCCCTCCGCCCCTGGGACCTGTGTGTGTGACTTCACGTGGCAAAAGGGCTGTGAGGGTCTGATCAGACACAGGTCCCGAGGAGGGAGATCATCCGGATGTAGTCACACGGGTCCTCACAAGGGGAGGCAGAGGCAACACTCCCCGAGACCAGCCCCTCCACGTGCTTCTCCCCCTGGGCACGGTTCACGCTGAACCCCAGGCCGCGCTGAGTCAGCAGCCGTGATGGCAGGAGTGCAGGTGGCAGCGTGCCCCCCGGGCTGGGACGGCTCCTTGGTTTACCCACCGGCCTCTGGATGCTGGATATGTTCACGGTAAAGTTGCTCCTGTCCTGTCTGAAGAAGGCTATCACCTCTTCGGGGCAGAAGTAGGAAGCCCACGCCTCCACGCTCGCAGGGGGCTCTTCCACCTCTTTGCCGGAAAGCGGGATTTGAATCTGTGAAGCGGGCACACGGGGTTTGCTTTACGAAGTGGAGTTGAAAGTCCAGTGGGAGTGTGGGCAGACACCCAAAACTCGACGGGACAACCGTCCCTCCTGGGAGAGCGGGGCTTAGGCTCTCTGCCCCGTGCACTGTGACCGGTGGCATCACACACCCTCGTCCGTAAACGCTGGTGCCCGAGCACAGGCGAGAGCCCAGCTCTGTGGGGCAGAGCAGCCCGGACAAGGGCGGGCGGGTGGCAGGAGCACGGCCATGTGGACAGGCAGACGCTCAGGTGAAAGGTCGGGGGGGGGGGGGGACAGCCCCCTGCGATGGGAAAGTCACTGCCCCTCCCACCCACAACCAGGTCCCTAGGTGCCTGGGGGTGACCTTGCAGGGCCTTTGATCTGAGACTGCTCTGGTGTGGGATAAACGCCAGGGAGAAGCCAGACACCCCCCCTTCATACCCCATCGCCCATTACGGTCCTGGCTCCCCCGGGTGTCTGTGTGACAGAGAGATCACTGCCTCCATTTTGCAGAAGAGGAAACTGAGGCACAGACACACCCATCGGGCCCACAGCCCGGGGCGCTGCGCTGTGTCTGCGGGGCGGGGGGGGGGGGGGGGGGACGGGGGGCCCGGCCCTCGGCCGTGCTGCCTGCACCTCTGAGAAACCATTACCTGCTTCGGGTCTTTACTCTTCTCTCGGTCCTTGTCCTTGACCTTCTCCTTCTCTTTTTTAAGCAACAGATTGGAACTAACTGTTGCTAGGATTTTACTTTCTGAGAACGACTTTCCTGCTGTTAATAAAGAAACCTGGGGGAATGAAATAAAAATTGGCAACATTAAGAACAGACACCCGTTCCCACCTTCCTCCCGGACACTCAGATCCGAGGGGCGGTCAGCCTGCAGGCCCGGCCGGTGAGCCAGGTGCAGGGGTGGCCACAGCGTCCCCGGGGGGGACACTCGGGGCAGCGGGGACACGGGGTGAGGGCGACCCTCGAGGAGGCGTTACAGTGCCTGAGCCTCCTGTCCATGAACCACACCAGGGTCCCCCAAAGGGTCCCACAGAATCCTGGGCGGGGCGGGGAGTCCTGGGCAGGATGGGGTCTGGGGCAAACCTGCCCTCAGAAGCAAGGCCTGTCTGGCGCCCTGCTGGGGGCGCTGCCGCAGGAGGTCCCCAAGAACACAAGGCCACCCAGAGCTGCCGGGAAGGGGGCTGTACAGAGGTGGGGGGGAAGGGGTGCGCGGGTGGGGGGAAGATTCTGGAAGCCCAGCAACAGGGGTTGGTGATGGTCTGAACGACACAGGCTTCAGCGGACTGCCCACTACCCGCAGCAGCGTGGGTGACCCTGGCGGCGGGGGGGGGGGGGGGGGGGTGGGGGGGGGGGGTGTTCAGAGAGGAGGGGCCGACTGGAGGACGCAGCACTGACGAGTGAAGTGGACAGGGACAGGGCTTCGGGGAGACACGCTACGCACGTCTTGGTCTTTTTAAAAATATATATATATATAACTTCATTGATTTGAGGAGAGGAAGGGAGAGGGTGAGAGAGAGAGAAACATCAATGATGAGAGAGAATCATGGATCGGCTGCCTCCTGCACACCCCCCAGTGGGGATTGAGCCCGTAACCTGGGCATGTGCCCCTGACTGGAACCGAACCCGGGACCCTGACGCTCTATCCACTGAGCCACACCAGCTAAGGCACATCCTGGGCTTTAGAGAATCTTTGGAAGCAGCAAAACTGAGCCCCAGCCTGGTCCCCGGAGGAGCGGCGCCCCGCCCAGCGCGGCGGCCGGGCCCACCTGCCAGATGTGCCGGAGGAAGGAGTAGGCCATGAGGCAGTAGTCCTGGTAGCCGGCGGCGCTCGGGGTGCCCAGCAGGGCCAGCAGGATGTGGGCGCGGGCCAGCGCCTCCAGCTGCCGCACGTTCCGCAGCTTCTCCAGGAAGACCGTCCCCAAGTGCTCAGACCCCAGGCTCTCCGGGGCCTCCTGCGTGAACGGGGGCTCTCCTGGAAGAGAGGGCGCCCCGACTTGGTGTCCGCAGCCGTGGCCACTTCCTCTCCGCCCTTCCCCCGGGCCCCAGGGGTCAGAGGACTGAGTCCTCTTCCAGAAGGGGCGCCCAGCCCTCGCCGGTGGGGCTCCAAGGATAGAGTGTCGGCCCGTGGACCGAAGGGTCCTGGGTTCCATGCTGGTCAGGCTGCAGGCTCCTCCCTGGCCCAGGCCCTGATCGGGGCTCGTGCAGGAGGCAACCGATGGATGGGTTTCTCTCACATCGATGTTTCTCTCTGTCTTTCCTCTCTCTTCCACTCTCTCTAAAAAATCAATGGGAAAATATCCTCAGGTGAGAATAAAAACAAGCAAACAAACAAACAAAAAATAGAAGGTGCGCCCACCATGCAGGGCCCAGGGCTTCTCCCCTGAAGGGAGACAGCAGGCCTGATATCTGGGGTGCCGTGGCCATGGCCAGGCTGCGAGGAGACATCGGTCCCAGGCCCAGGGTAGGGGGTTGGGAGCGATGGACCTTCCCCTCCGCGGGTCACCCTAGTTGGTCTGAGCTTGCCCTGACGGGGGCTCGGCATCGAGTGGACGAGTCCACGTGCTTCTAGTGCAGACAGGGGGTCGCCCTTTTCCAGGGCCCCCGAATCTGCAGGCCAGGATGGAGGCCGTCTCAGTGCTGCAGCCCAGCCTGGGCCAGCGTCATGCGGCCTGTCTAGGGGGGTGGGGGGGGGGGGCCGTGGGGGAGCATTCCCCTTTTTGGTGTGAGAGCGCCCTCTTGCTGGAGCAGGACCCAGAACAGGAGCCCAGCAGCCACGCTTCCCCCTCCATCTGCTGGGCATGGCCACTGTCCCTTTTGCAGGTTGCCTGTGGTGGCCCCGGGTATCCACTGCTCACCTGCCCCAGGCCCTGGTCCTAAGAAGGCCCTCAGCCTTGCTGACAGCAGGGGCTCGGGACCAGCCTAGGCGGGGGAAGAGGGCTGTGGGGTGTGGGGGAGACGGGGGAGACGGGGGAGACGGGGGGGGGGGGGGGGGGGGGGGAGCCCGACCTGCCAGCGCCTTTGGAAACGTGGTGCCTGCGGGCGGCCCCGCTGAGCCCGTCAGAGCCCCAGCTCCTCTCTCCAGCCCGACGGGCTCCGGGCACACGTCATGCTCCCCACAGAGCAGGCTCCGGTGCTTGGGGTCACCTCAGTCCCCCGCACAGCCCAGGAGAGGCCGCTCTCCCACAGGAAGGGGGACTGGTTTCCTCCGAAACGCTGCTCCCTTCAGGACGGGTCCCCGGGGCAGGCCTGTCGGCATTTCGGGGAGTTCCACAGTCCCTGGCCTCCCCCAGATCTGCCACGAGGAGCACCCGCAGTCTGTAAGCCCCTCCCTCAAGACTGTGGCCACAGTGAGGCTGCCCAGGCTTCCCACCCACCAGCACCCCGCTCGGCAAACCCCACCTCTGACCCCAAGCCAAACCCCTCTGCGGCCTCCACATACCTTGGGGTTGGCCTGGGGCTGGCTCCAGATCATGACCTTGCTCACCGGAGGGCCTGCTCTCTGAGCCAGAGGGGACAGCGAGAGGGACAGCGTGCCCAGGAGCCGTCCCTGGCCGCGGCGCCTCACCTGCGGGCTCAGGTGTGTCCCTGGAAGGTTTCATCCCCAGAAGGATGTCGATGGCCCAGTTCAGGTGGAAGGTCACGTCCTCGATGGGGAACTGCTGGTAATACAGCCACTCGCTGAACTCCATGATGTAGTCGACCTTGTGCCACGCGCTCTCCGGCTTCTTTGGGATTAAACAGAAAAGGGGTGGTGACGCTGCACCCCGCACTCGGCACCCTGATACGCACTGAGCCACAGTCTCAGGCACCGACAGTTTCGTTGCTTCACTTTCTAGAAGCAAATGGTTCGTTCTCACCCTGTAGTCATCCCAGCGCGACTCCTCCACTGGGACTCACCTGGCCGTCCAGGCTCATCACGACCTCTCAGCCCTGGGCCAGGGGCCCGTGTTCATGTGCAGCAAGTAGCGAGACTAGAGCTTGGCAAGGCCTCCACTCCCTGAGGACACCCGCAGCCCAGCCCAGTGCCTCCCAGACCCTGTGTGTCCCGCCAGCCCAGACCAGGTTGCTAGCCACGCCAGCATCCCTCTCCTCAGCCGGTCTCCTCCGGCACGGGCTGGAATGTGCCTGTGAGGCTTTATCCAGGTGGTTCTGTGGTGAAATGGGCTTTGGAGGGCAGAGAGCCGTCCAAGGCCTGCCCGTGCACAAATGGCCAGTAATGGCTGCACAACGGAATGAAGGCGCCAGCCAGCAGGTGGCGCCCCGGCCTCCCACTTAGCTGGCCCCCCTCACCCCCACAGTCTTCATCCCACAGCTCACAGGTGGAGGGCGGGGCTGCCTGGGTTCTGAAGGTCAGGAAGGCAGGGGGGAGGGTGTGGAGCCGCAGGGGTTTGGGGATGCTGGGCTAATGCAGGTGAGATGGAAGGAAGAGTGGAGGGGGCAGCGGGACATTCGAGGTCAGAGTGGAGGGAGGTTGATGAGCAGAATCAGCATAGAGGCACTGATTGAGGTCAGCGGGAGTGGGTACCCTGGGTAGGGAGGGCCCTGGGTAGGGAGAGGATGTATGTGTGTGTTGGGGGGAGGGGGGGGCAGGAAAGGAGGCCCCAAACACAGGAGCAGGAGGCAGGGCCCTGGGTAGGAAGGGGCGTGGCAGCCAAGGGGAGGAAGTCCTCAGTGGGGAGGGCAGCCAGATGCCCCCAGGCAGTGACAGGCACACAGGCTCCTACACCAGCAACTTGTCCCTCCACCCTGGAAAGGGCGAGGAGAGATGGGGACCGTCTGCTGCCCTTGACATGTGGGTGAAGACCCGCTGTCACCCCTTACCCCATCCCCCCATCACCTCCAGGACGGCTCGGGGCCACACCTGCAAGGCCTGGATTGCGTTCTGATAGCAGGTCAACTCTCCGTAGACGTTCTTTGAGTTCAAGGCCAGGCGGTGCCACATGTGGGCCAAGTAATCTTCACTCTCATCTTTAAACTTCTGTATTTCCATTGTAAAATTCTGGCCAAGTTTGGCCTTCACGAGGACCATATGCTTGAAAATCAAGCTAAAGGAAAGTGAAAGAGGAATTAATTCTGGAACCGAAGGGCAAAAATGTAACTATGTATATAATTCACCCAACACAGACGTACTGGTCCGTTTCCCTACTTACAAAGATAAAACAAAACGGAACCTGAGTTACTTGGGCTTTTGCGTTGCGGTCGATTTTTTAAATTTATTATTTCTGTGTGGACATCGTGTTGTAAATCCCTACCCTTCTCATGATGGGTTCTTCATGGAGAAAAGTCATCAGAAAAGGGAGAGTGAGGGGGTCCCTGATGGGGGGTGGGGTGGGACTGCGAAGGCACTGGGGCTTCAGGAGGGGCTCCTGGCAGGGGGTCCAGGTCGGGGTGGGAGGGTGGGGCGCACTCACAGGCGGTGCGCGGTCCGAGGCAGTATCTGCACGGCCTCGTCCAGCACCTTCAGGCCGCCCTCCCAGTCCTCATGGTCGGCGTGGCAGTGGAACAGCAGCCCGTAGAGCGCGGCCCGCAGGGACAGGTCATCATCGGCCTCTGCAGGGACAGGGCTCAGGGCTGCAGGGGCCTGGGCTGGGACAGGTCTACACACACACACACACACACACACACACACACACATACTGCCTCCCTGGAGGCCACGGGGGGGGGGGGGCGGATGGAGCCTCCCCTGGGGCTGAGCACAGCAGACCCCCTCCCCCCGGCCACCACCACCACCACCACCACCACAGCCACCACCGCCACCACCACTACCGCCACCACCGCCGCCACCACCACCACCACCACCACAGCCACCACCGCCACCACCACCACCGCCGCCACCACCGCCACCACCGCCACCACCGCCACCACCACCACAGCCACCACAGCCACCACCGCCACCACCACCACCGCCGCCACCACAGCCACCACCACCGCCACCACCACCGCCACCGCCACCGCCACCGCCACCGCCACCGCCACCACCGCCACCGCCACCACCACAGCCACCACCGCCACCACCACCACAGCCACCACCACCGCCACCACCACCACCACCACCACCGCCGCCGCCACCGCCGCCGCCACCGCCGCCGCCACCGCCGCCACCGCCGCCACCACCGCCACCACCGCCACCGCCACCACCACAGCCACCACCACCACCACAGCCACCACCACTGCCACCGCCACCACCACCGCCACCACCGCCACCACCACCACCACCACCACCACAGCCACCACCGCCGCCGCCACACCACACCACCACCGCCGCCGCCACCACCACCGCCGCCGCCGCCGCCGCCGCCGCCACCGTGCCTCTGGATGGGTTACGGGAGCTCCTCCCTCAGCTGCCAACCGGGCAGATTTCCCCAGTGCTGACTTTTTCATGTCATGCATGTTCTTTATTCTCATTATTTAAAGTTCATGTATTTGAAATGGTGCCTCTTTGACCACTTTAACGTTTAGGACATAATCTTTCCACAAAAATCTCTTGCTTTGCTCCATTCTACTTTCTGTTTTTTCCTAGAATTTGAATTTTAACACTGCGACTCCATTTAGCCCGTGTGATGCTTTGTCACGGGCCACGCAGGCTGGCTCTCCACCAGGGCTCCTGCGTGACGCTGCCCGCCGCCCCCGAGGGCTGCCACCTGCATCCTTCTCTGCAGCACCGCCAGCCAGGTAACAGCTGGGGTTTAGACTAACTTAGTGCTTAACTACATGTGGTCACGTTCTGTTGATTTTAAGTCAAGTTTGTGTCTCTAAATCGGGAGGGACCTCGGCTCTAACCCCAGCGTCACATCCTGAGCACACACGAGGACTCTTACACTAACAGGGGCGGCGAATTAGCAGATACTCGTCATTTCTTTCTTTAAACGTGGATTCTAAAATGTGGTTTTCATTGTTCTAAGGTCGGTATTTTTTTAGGAAATGGCTCCACATGTTTATGGAACTTGAATCTGATTCATCCATCAGAATAACCCAGAGGCTCGCTGTCAAGGCAGCCTGGGTGGCCTGGATGGACCGTGTGGCCCCGGACAAGGGGACCATCAGGCCTCGGTGCCCTGGGCACAACGGGGGCCTCGCGAGGCTGTTCATGAAAAGCACTGGCAGTGCCTGTCACAGCCCGACGGCTGGCAGACGCCACCTGCGGTTCCCGCCACGGTCACGCTGGCTTTACAGAAGGGCCGGGGACTGAGGCACAGTGTCCTCCCGCCCCGCGTGCGACGGCAGCGGCTGCGCACCTGGGAGGAAGGAGCCCTCGGAGGTGCCTCCGCTCTGCAGGTCCGCGGTCGGCCACTGGTGCAGGAGCTGCACGTCTCCTTTCTCCTGAAGCAGAACCGACGAGACATGCACTTGAAAGCTGTCACTTATTCCTTCACCACTTTGTGCTTCGTCTGCCTCCGCATTGAGTGACGGAAATTGCAGCTAAATTTCTAAGACACTAAGTCACCCTTCACCCATGAGAAAGGCTGTCCAGGGCAAGGTCAGCTGCGTAGGGGACACGCAGGCCTCCCCGGTCTACAGCTTCCTCAGTGACAGGGCATCCAAGTCACTCCTGTCCCTTTAAATCAGTGGGATCAAAGCACATTAGGGAAAAACAATGAGGCGCAGCAAAAGCTGCAAATGTCTACACTAGACCCTTGGACCCTAAAGAACTAGAAAAAGAGCAAACTAAACCCAAAATAGCAGCAAGAAGGAAATAATAAAGATTAGAGCAGAGATCAAGAAAATGCAGAATAGAAAAACAAAAGAAAATAAATGAAACCAAAAGTTGGCTCTTTGAAAGGTTGATAAAATTGACAAACTTTTAGCTAGACTGACATGGGAAAAAAAGAAAAGACACAAACACTTAAAATCAGAAATGAAAGTGGGGACATTCCTATCAAGCCTGGAGAGACAAAACGGATTGCAACAGAGAGTCCTATGGCCAATTGTACGCCAACAAATTAGACAGCCTGGAAGAAATGGAAGAATCCTGAAAAGTACGTAAGTCACCTATGCTAACTCAAAAAGAAATAGAAAGTCTCAACAAACTTTTAACAAGTAGGGATTGAATCAGCAATCAGAAACCTCCCAATAAAGAAAAGTCCCGGAACAAAAGGCTTCGGAGGTGAACTCCACCAAACATTTAAATACTTGACGTCAATCCTCCTCAACTCGAAAAAATTAAAAAGGAAGAAACACTTACTAACTCATTCATTCTATGTGACTAGGGTTATTTTGAGAGCAAATCGAGATAAAGGAATCGCAAGAAAATTACAGACCAATACTCTTACGGATATAAATGCAAAAATCCTCAACAAGGTATTCGCAAATCAAATCCAAGGGCATAAGAAAAATATTATGCACCACAACCAACTGGGATTTATCCCAGGAGCACAAGGCCCTTCAACATAAGAAGAACAATCAACGTGATACATCACAGTAACAGAAGGAAGGAGAAAGCCACGTGATCATCTCAACTGATGAAGAAAAGGCATTCGACAAAAGCCAATCTTTCATTACAAAATCTCAAAATCTCTCAGGGAACGAGGAGTAGTGGGAAACCCCCTCAACACCATGAAAGGCATTGAAAACAAGCCCACCGAAAGCACCGTCCTCTGTGGTGAGAGGCTGAAACGTCCCCTCTGAGGTCAAGAACAAGACAAGAACGCCTGTGCTCACACCGCTGCTGTTCCACATGGCACCGGAAATGCTAGCCGGGGCGATGAGACAAGAAAAACAAATAAGCACATGGAAGACGCTCAATAGCATCAGTCATTAAAGAAATTAAAATCAAAACCACAATGAGATACCACCTCACACCTACTAGAATGGCTACATTTTTTAGAATGGAAAATAACAAGTGTTGACTATGATGTGGAGACACTGGAACCCGTGAACATTGTTGGTGGGAATGGAAAACGGTGCAGCCGCTGTGGAAAACAGCCCGACAGTTCCTGAAAGGCTAAACACAGAACTACCACAGACCCCAGCAGTTCCATCCCTGGGTATAGACCCCAGGGAACCGACAAGGAACTGTATCTGTGCACCCGTGTTCACAGCAGCACTGTTCACACTGCCAGGAGATGGAAACAACCCATGTCCATCCGCAGAGGAGCAGATACACGACACGAGGTCTGCGTACCATGGAACACTGTCCAGCCACAACAAGGCTCCAACGTGCTGAACCTGGGCACACTGTGCTCACTGAGAGGAGGGTTAGGGTGAGGGCTAGGAAAGTTCCCTCCATCAAGGTGCTAGTGATAGGGTGCAGGTGGGGGGATGTCAGTCAGGCCGAGACCTGCCCAGCCCTGGTGTGCATCTTGCCCAGCGGCCTCTGTGCTTTCCTCAGCTGATCCCAGGGTCCTGCCCCCTAGCCCCTCTCTCCTCTCCTAGGGAGCTTTCCAGGGAAGGGTCAGGGTCTCTCGGAGGGAGGGAGGGTGGAGAAGGGCAGTGGGGAAGGGAGGTCAGGACTAAGCCTTGAGCTCAGCCAGGGGCCACCGCCACTGGAGCAGCTCCGAGGGGTCTGCCTTGCTTGGGAGCCCCGCCCGCCGCCTCTGGAGGAAGAGCCTGAGGCAGCCGCGGGACCCGGCAGCCGGCCCTGGGGCACCTGGGTTTTGGTCTCCGTCTTGTTGATGATGTTGACGATCCTCTGGATGATGTGCCTGGCTTTCTTCCTGTTGGCCGCGGAGGACAGGAGCGGGAGCTGGGTGTTCCAGTAGTGCCGTGCGGCCAGCATCACCAGGGCGCTGCTCTGCGCCATGCCCCCAAACCTGAAAGGGAGGCCGGACCTAGCGGGCTGCGTGAGCTGCAGACGCGCAGGCACCCACCGACAGCTCCGGGGTCCTCAGAGGGCAGGGCGAGGCCGGGTGTCTGACCTGGAGCCTGTGCCCATGTCTGCAGGACATGCCCCTGGGGGTCCCAGCTGTGAATACCCTGCCTTGACCCCCCCACCCCCACCCTTGCCACGGGGTCTGTGAGGGAGGGCCGGCCTCCGTGACAGTCCCGACTGCGTGTCATGCTCTTCATTTCAGGGCACTCACGGCAGCTGCCCTTACCCATACACAGCACGCACCCAGACCCACCACACACGCAATCCGTGCAGCCGCAGCGCAGCATGGCGCACCTCACGCTCTCGAAGAAGGCCGTGCTGGCCGACAGGCGCAGCTGCTTCCGCCCCTTCAGGTTCTCCATGATGCTCCTGCCCTGGATGCAGGCGCTGGCGCTCAGCATTTCTGCCACCAGCTGAGCCTGGACCCTGCGGGCAGAGACGCCTTAGCACACAGGAGGGCAGTGGGGGGCGGGGGAGGGCGTTGCAGAAAGGTGAGTGAGCCTGGGGTGCCTGGAGCAGCCTCCCCAAAGTCCCCAAACCAGAAGTAACTGGCTGAGTGCAGGCTACCCAGAGAACCACCAGACAGCATCAGCTGGCGTCTTGTTTAAAATATTTTTTTAATTTTGAGTGGACGCTTATTAAAGCTGGGGACAGTGAGACAAGGACGGCCTTCGCACAGAAGCAGCAGCTGGGCAGGGCACCTCTGACTCACTGAGAAGTCAGAGAAAAGGGGCCTCGGAACAAGGTCAGGGGTTTAGCCGGGGATGAGCTGCCGCTACCCATTGATCCCCTAATTGCAAGTCTCATGGGGACCTTTGAGTTTAGGAGGCTCACGCCTTGGGGGAAGGAGAGGGGAGGGACAGGTGCCCCGGGAGGAAGAACAGGCCAGCATCAACTGATGTCTTAAGTGACTAACGTGTGGGGTGCTGTACACAGCAGCCGGTGAGCAGAACAAGCCCCTCGGGGAGCCCCGGTGCACACGAGGGCTCAGTTCTGGGCAGCTCCCACTCAGCGAGATACGGAGAACATGTAATCCCGCTCCCTCGACGTTTGCTGGCCCAGCCAGCCAGGCTGGGCCCACAGGACACCGCACACACTAAGACATCATCCCCTGTCCAGGCTGGACTGATCACATGCCTGCACCTCAGCCCAGGAGGTACCGACTTGACTCTGAGAGACATACACTGGCCCCTGGGGACACTCCCTGCCTGGGCCTGGAGCTCTGTAGTCAGGGAGCTGCCTGCAGGAGCAGGCAGGAGCCCAGGGGGGAGCTGCTGCTCTTGGTGGGTAGAGAATTCCAGATTGACAGGGTCCTGGTTGTTCCTGTTGAGAAGTCCACAGGCCTGATCTTGTTCCCCTGTATGCAGTGTGTCTTTTCCCCTTCCAGCTTCTCTCCCAGGCTTCCCTCCCACCTTTGGGCCTCGGCCGTTTGACCACAATGAAAGCAGGTGTGGCTTTCTTGGTGTTCATCCTACTTGCAGCTCATCAAAAATGCTGGATCTCTGGATTCAATTTCAAAACATTTCTGCTGCTACATTTCCTTGATTGATTTATTAATTTTTAGAGAGAGAGAGAGACAGAGACATCCATGTGTTGTCCCACTTATCGATGCCTTCACTGGCTGCTTCTTGTCTGTGCCCTAACGGGGTCCCCGCAACCTTGGCGTACCGGGAGGATGCTCTAACCACCTGAGCCACCCGGCCAGGGCTCGGCTGCCACATTTCCAAGCGGATGCATCTCTGCCTCCCTCTCCTGCCTCTGTCCCCGAGAGCTTCGGTTTTGTTCTTTAGGGTTCAATTTCAATAGCCTGCTGACCCTCATTCAAAGTGACATATCGCTTCTCCAGTGTTATTTCCATGATGAGTATTGTATTTTTCAGTTCTAGAATTTCCACTTAGTTCTTTATTATAGTTTTTATTTCTTTGTTGAAATTCTCCACCTGTACATTAATTTGTCCCTTAAGCATCCTTTCTTTTATTTAGAGTAGCTGTTTTAAGTGCATTGTGTTGTGTCAGGGTCTGTTGATTTTTTTTTTTTTTTCTGTTCTAATGACTGTTTTTCTCCTGGTACGGATCAGCTCCAATCCTGGCTCTGCCACTCACCAGCGGGGTGACTTAGCCTCTGCCTCAGTATCCCTATCTGCAGTGTGGGAACAGCCATTGCGAGGAATAAATGAGGTGACGCATGCAGAGCCCTCGGGGGTCCCGGTTTGTGCCCTCAGCATGCCCGAGGCACTGGCCACATGGGTCAGTGATTTCGACTTTCAGGAAACAGATTCAGGAAGTGAGCTGAAGAGAAGAACCTCAAGGAAAACCGTGTTCACTGGAGAAATATTTATATTAGCAACAAAGATTTTTAAAAGCCTCACCTCTGGAAATAGAGGAAAGATTCAGGACAACCTTAATCTACTGATCAGCTGAATGGGCCCTGTGAGCTGGGAGCAAACTGTCAGAAAGATGAAGCGCCCTGTGGCCACCTGGGCCATCCCAGGACCTGGGCAGCGTCGGCCTCTGGGGAGCGAGCAGCTGGCAGCCCTGGGCTGAGGGGGCGGGGAGAGGGCATTTCCCTTTCACTGAAATTGCCCTTTCATTACTTTCTAACGCACTTAGGGAGCCTTGCTGCCAACTCAAAATCCTGGTAAACCAAGGATCCTGTTGGGAAGGGCAGGGGCATCTGTGAGCCGCTTCCCACCTCTGTGCCTGCCACGCTGGCAGCGGGTGAGGCTGGAGTGGCCTCAGAGCCCTTCCGAGCACAGCTCTCCCGGGGCCCAGAGGCGGTGCTGTCCTGGCCGTGGAACTGGGATGGAGGCCGCATGGGCACCTGGCCGGGCTGCTGGGGATGCCGAGGTGGGCAGGGTCTGGCCAGTGGGGGTACCTCTCCGTAGCCTCTACACAAGTCATCCCTGGTCCCCACGAGCGCCCCCTACACACCGAGGTGTGGTTACGAGCCTTCTTCATGTTCCTCCTGATGCGGGGGGGGGGGGGGGGGGGTGGGCAGGGAGACGCCACACCATGGGGTCACCAGGAGTCGGGCGCCAGGGAGGCTACTCACGGATTTAACATCCTCAGGTACTTGATGCCCATCTGGATGGCCTTCTGCGAGCACACCATGGTGACCTCGTGGTCGTGGGCTGTGTAGGCAAAGTGGCTCAGGCGGGCCAGCGTCTGCAGCTGGACCAGGGGGTCCGTCCAGTTGCACTCGGAGACCATCTTCAGCAGCTGCGCGGAGGGCGGGGGGGGGGGGGTGGCGTTCAGTGCGGGGCGACCCTCCGCCCACCGTGGTGGGTGCTGTCCGCTGGGGGCCACTTCATTGCTGAAACCTTGCACCTCGCTGTGGATCACGGAGCGATGTTATCCCGAGACCCGATGGGTAACGGGCCATCTCACGGCAAACACACCGAGGCTAAGTTACCGCATCGCTCGAAGCAAACTTAGGCCCGGGCTCGGGCTCAGGGTCGCCTGTTGGGGGGCAGAGGCCCCGGTGTCCACGCTGCCTCAGTATCCCCAGAAACACCCTGCTCTACATGGAACCACAGAGGAAGCTCAGAGGGGAGCTGCCGAGTGAAACTAAACTCAGGTGCCCTGAGGGGGACAACAGGTGCTGGTGAGAAGGCGGTCACTCAGGCAGGCCAGGTCCCAACGCCGGCCACACTCGGCAAGGCCCTCTGACCCCGGCTCTGCCTCTGAGCAGCAGGATTTGAACAAGTGGCCTCGGGTTGGGGGATTCTGTCTGGCATGCCAACAGGGCATCTGGTGGTGACTACCTGGGCCTCAGGGGGCACAGTGACCCCTGGGGGGAGGGGGCGACACCTGGGGAAGGTGATGCCTGAGGAAGGAGGTGACACCTACGTTAGCCAAGGAGGGCACGGTGAAGTCCATGAGGCCCAACCCGTTGCAGGAATACATCTCCAGGGCGACAAGGATTTTGGTCACGGCGTTGATGTCCTCGTTGGTGCCCTGGGGAAGGAAGCACGGAGCGTCCGTGAGCCCAGGGGACCCAGGAAGGGTCTGGCACACTTGGGACTTCAACCCTGTGAAATACCAGCTCCGTGGCAGTAATCGGAGCTATTTGTATAAAAGTTTCTCTCCCGGTGACTTTCCCACACCATCAGGAGGCAGGAAGTGACGCAGAGTGGTCAGACGACGGGGCTGACCGGCTGCAGGTGGAGGGCAGGCCACCAGCAGAGCGGGAATAGCCTTCCTTCCGTCCCCCTCCAATTGTCCCTCGATCCTGGCCCGCTCAGATGCCCACGCTCACTGCCTCTCCGGTCTCCCTTTCAACCTGTCCCAGTGCCCTCTGGCTCCAGCCAGTGCCCCTGGGAGGCTCCCTCTACGGCCACACACCCATCTCCTCTCCGGGTCCCCGCTTGCTCTCCCAGCCCCCACTCCCACAGCCTTGTGTGCACAGCTTAGGGTCCCAATATCCTGCCAAAGCAGGCCCCCGCTGGCCTGAATGCACCTCCAAATAAGGCCACAGGGAGCACCACTGAGGGTGGGGAGCACCCCCAGAGGCCCAGTGGCTCGGTGGACATTTGGAAGAGTGTCCAGAGGGCTGGAGGAAGGGGAGACACCATGGCCTGGGCAGGTGGAGGGGCCGGGGCAGTGACTTCAGTGGGAACAGCCCTCCGTGGAGGGGAGCACCGTGTACAGAAGGGCACGGCCCGCTGTGCGCTGCCCTCCAGGCTGGCGAGGCCCAAGGGGAGGGAGACGGGGGAGAGGCAGTGCCTGCAGTGCACCTGCTCCTCCGTGCCCAGCTTCGTCCCAATCTGCTGCTGCAGCAGCTGCTTGGCCTTCACCCAGGTGGCGATGAGCTGCTGCCGGGCTTCGATGGGCACGACCTCCTCGGGCACCGTCCCATTGGTCAGGGTCAGGGCAAACTCGCAGACCTGAAATGGGGGTGTCCTTGTTCATACAACCAGGACTCTGAAGAGAGAGACCTGAGCCGAGACCCAAATCATTAACCATACATGGCCCTGGCTCTTGGTGCAGACCGCAACCGAGGCCTGAACACCTGCCAAGCCCAGGCCCGTCCTGGAGCGGCCGGGAGCTGAGGTCTCGGTGTGCGGCTCGCCCTCCCACGCCCTCACCCCTCTGGCACGCGGCACGGTGGCTCCTCGTGCCTTTCTCTCTGAGGGCACCTGCCGAGCGCCCACCTCCTCACCACTCGGGGCAGCTGCAGGTCCTGCGCTTCCCTGAAACTCACTAAGGAACTTGCTTCCCTCCCTGTTTGCTAAGATCCTTCTGGACTAGAAACGGGTGATGGATCTGCCAATGCTTTTCCACATCCATCACGACCACCATGTTTCCTCCACCTCGTGCACATAGATCGGGAGGTAACTTCCATGGGACCAGCGCTCCCACTTGCTCGCAGCCTCTGACCGCGCACGTGGTCTGCAGATGTGGCCCCGGCTGCTCTGCGCTCTCCTGGCTTCGCACCCCTCTTGTCCTCTGCGCCGGAGAAGCCAGCACAGGCACGACCTGGGCCTGAGGGACGTCCGCTCCCTGTTTTTAGGGAAAAGCCTGTTCCTGTCCTCGCTCAGCACCCCTTTTCCCGGCAGATGGACAGGCTGACAGTTTCACCCCCACTGCTCCCTGTCCTCACCCCGGGACCGGGACTGCGGCGAGAGGCCGCCCCGCGAACCCCGCCTCTATACCTCCACCGCCGTTTTGATTTCAGAGATGGCTCCCGAGTCCAGTGGTGTGTGTGATGTGTTTGGTCGAATGACTTTTCTAGATTTTTCTGGCACCTGGGTTGGGATCCAGCTGATAATTAGGCCTCGAGCCAAAGCATTGCAGAGCATCGCCAACGTGACGGGGTCGCTGGAACGCAAGGTGTCAGCGGGTGAAGCTCAGACTCGAGGCGCGAGTCCCCGGAGTCCACAACAGCCGTGCTCACGGGGTCCCCGTCTCCTGGGATTAAGCGGAAAGGTGGCCCCCCACCAGGCAGCACCTGCTCCAGGAGCCATTTTCGGGCCTCGAGGGAGGCAGCTGGCTGTGGCAGCCTGCTCTGGGGACGCGCTGTCCCCTGACACAGGTACCTTCACAGTGGAAGGCGACCCTGGCCACGCGGGCTGGACAGAAAGGCCCCGAGTAGTGGTCAGAGAATTTCCATCCGTCACCAGGGCAAATGGGCTTGTACCGAACCTCCGTGTTTCTCACCAGAAACGAGGTGGCACTAAAGCATTTAAAATGGTCACAGGTGATCTCCGTGTGCTAAGAACTGGGGACTAAGATCCTCGTCTCCAACAGAAGCGCGCAGCACGATGGCCACGAGGAGGCCCAGGCTCGAGGACCCGCAGCCCACAGCCCGACAGGCGCGATGTCAGAGGCCGAGCCGGCCTCACACCCACAGGCGAAGAGAGGCCGCTGGGTACCTCCTCATTTCATGGCCCATTTTCTTTATTATTCATCACTTTAAAAAAACATCACATTGTATGTTGCCGCATTCTGACTCGTTCATTCTTGAATTTCTACTTTAGCATCAGAGACAGGCGGGGCTCCCAGGCCGGCCCTGGGCGGGCGTGCAGGCTCCCGGGAGCCTCCTGGACCCCCACACACTGACCCGCAGCTCAGAGAGGGTGAGTGTTTGGCTCAAGGGTGCACGGCGAGTAAATGGGGACCCTGGGATTGCTGGAGCAGCCCTCCCCGGGGCAGCACTAAAGAAGGGAACACCCGCCTGACCCCAAAGCTCCAGGGCCAGGACTCACCCGTTGTGGCCGACGGCCTTGACGATGGTCAGGAGGTGGTACAAGGCGTCCACCAGCTCCTTCTGCCGCCCGGCCACGATGAGATGGTGGTTGTGGTTCAGGACGTACACCATCGCGTTCTGCACGATCCAGGCCTCCTGGATCTCCTGTCCAATCTCCGCGGACCGCAGCCAGCTGTTCATGGCGTACTGCGACAGGCTCTCGATCCAGCTCCTGCAGGACGCACATGCCACGCTCGCCTCTGAAGCAAGACCTTCCCAACGGGCAGCACAGACCCAGCGTGACGTCTGTCCAGGGCCCTGCCCCGGCTGTGGAGCGGGGTCAGAGAGGTGCCCCTGCTGGGGGTGCCTGCCACGCTCTCCTAAAGAACCCTGGGCCTGCCCAGTCCCCCTCCTCCACCCAGGACATCCCTCGGGCACTCTTGCTCAGTACCTGGTCTACAAACTCCCAGCCTCCCCGTCTGAGGGCAAAGTCCTGCCCCAGGGCCACCCGGCTGCCTGCCCACCTCCGTGGCCGCCCTTCACACACCGGCCCCTCTCCTCAGGGCGACCAGGTCCACTCAGCACTGTGGGCGAGTGACGACTGTCCACCTGGGGCTGGGCAGGGAAACCCTTTCTGTAAAGGGCCGGGCGGTATCTAGGCTTTGCAGCTCCAGGTCATCCCTTTTGTATATCTTCCTCTATGTTAGTTCACAGATTTTTAAAATGTCAAAACCACTCAGCTCCTGGGCTGTACACAACCAGGCCCTGGGTCAGATGTGGCCTGAGCCCTGGTCTGTGGACCCTCCTGCAAATGGAAACTCCTGGGCCTGGGCCCAGACGGGCCTGGCAGCCTCGCCTGGTGCAGCTCTGAAGGCCACAGGGACAGGGGACCTTCCATCAAGTCAAACGATCCGCACAAAGTGGCGCCTGCTCCCTTCCCGGAGCCGGCCGCGGGAGCGCCCTGGTGCACGCGGCGCACAGACAGGCCAGCGCGCTCCTCGGGCTCCAGGGCGCTCCTCGGGCTCCAGGGCGGGCGGCTGGGAGAGCCGCTGCCTGCGTAATGGAAGGAGGGGAGCAGGCCTTCCCCTCCCCCCACCTCCCCGGGCGGAGGGTGAGAACAGTCACGTAGGGCGCAGCTCCTGGGACGGGACGGTACATTCAGTCATTGACCTTAAAAAATACTATTTGATTTAAAAACAACTCGGACTGTCGTTATCAACACAGCCCCCACTTCCCAGGTGTCCGGCTCGAGGCATCTCATGTGGGCAAGTCTCCTGGACGTTCCAAGGGGAATGCTGCCGTTCACACGGGGAGCCATCGAGGCGTGACCCGCACACCTTCTCCTCTGGGCAGATTAGAGAGCAGCCCCTTGCTCTCCTCCCCTAACATCTCACTGTTACCAACAACGGGAAGGTCGGAAGGAACACGAGTCGGAAACCCTGGGTCCCAGTCTTGCGGCTGTTCTCACGCAGGACACCAGCCACGCTCCTGGTTGGACACAGCCCTGCCCTCCTCTCCACACCTCCCCCGGCGGCCACAAAGCCCGCGCTTCAGGGACAGACGGTGCCACAGGGGGCAGAGGACACAGGGACCCCGCCGGTCACGCGGCCCCTACTTGTACGTGTTCCACTCTGAGTTTTCCTCGGGGGACTCGAGCACGTAGCCTGTCGGGTGCTGGCTCAGGTTCTCGGTGGGTTTGGGGTGGTCGTTGAGCTCCACACCCTCTGACTGGAGCAAGTGGACAGTGGCCTGCATAGGAACAGCGCAGCGGGAGAGGTCACGGAGCCACGCCCCCGCCAGGCACAGCTCAGAAACGATTTCTAGGGAAAATGTATAGCAAACATGTCACATTTTGATTTCTATGTTTCCCCCAGAAAAACCCCCAGAGCCCAGGAAACTCCCTGTACACAGTCTCATTTACGGAGCAGCGGTGGGGACAAGTGGAATGTGACGCCTGCACCCCTCACCCACTGTCACTCCACCAGGCAGCGGGGTCAGCACCCCCGGATGCCCACACGGCCACCACGGCGGACTGAGCGGATGCCGGAGGGGACCCGGGCCCGCCGGCCGACCTGTGCACAGGACATACCTCAGCGCTGATGAACCCCACCTCCGCAAACTTCCGCAGCAGGCTGGGGGACCCCGGCCGCTGCAGAAGGACCTGCGAGTGGGCCTTGGCATCTAAAGAGGCATCCGTGCCCCGCTTCTTCCTTCCTGGGGGAACAGCCGCGCTTCAGACAAGGCCCCGGGTCACCAGGCGGGACGGCTGCCCCTCCCGGCTCCGGGGTGGGCAGGTCTCTGAGGGGCGGGCACTGTGCCAGGAGGGGGCGGAGGAAACTCCCCCAGGCGTGTGGGCCCCGGGGGGTGACAAAGGTGTCCCCATCTCTACCTGACGCTACAGACGGCACGTTCTTGGTTTTGCTCCTGCGGTTCTGCCCGCCAAGCCTGCCACCCCCGCCTCCAGGCCGCCTCTCACCTCTCACAGGCCCTGTGTCTTCACTGCCCACTAGACCAGAACTCCTCCAGGGACGGCACCTGGACGCATCCCGGACCCAGCGCCTGCCCACACTCCTGGGCCTGGGAAGCACGCCTGCACCCCTCACCCACGCCATCAGCTCCAGCCTCGGCACTCGGCCCATAGGACCCTTGACATGGCCTTGGGTCTCATGCAAAACAGGTCCCTTCCCTTTTCTCACCCCCTAACAACCCCACAGTGACTGTGAGAGTCAAACAAGATGATTGAATAGGAAGCCAGACGCACAAAAAAGGACCCTTGTCAGCAATCATGGCCCCGTGATCACCGTCACACTCACCGTCCCCCTCTCGGGGTGACTCTATGATCACCATTACTCGCACCATCCCATTCTCAGGGTGACCCTGTCATCACCGTCACTCTCACTGTCCCCCTCTCGGGGTGACTCTATGATCACCATTACTCGCACCGTCCCATTCTCAGGGTGACCCTGTCATCACCGTCACACTCTCGGAGTGACCCTGTCCTCACCATCACTCTCCCCGTCACACTCTCGGGGTGACCCTGTGATCACCATCACTCTCACCGTCCCCCTCTCAGGGTGACCCTGTGATCACCATCACTCTCACCGTCACACTCTCGGGGTGACCCTGTGATCATTGCCGCACTCACTGTCACACTCTGGGTGACCCTGTCATCACCATCACATTCATCGTCACACTCTCGGGGTGACCCTGTCATCACCGTCACTCTCACCGTCACATTCACCATCACACTCTCGGGGTGACTGTCATCACCGTCACTCTCACCGTCACATTCACCGTCACACTCTCGGGGTTACCCTGTCATCACCGTCACTCTCACCGTCACATTCACCGTCACACTCTCGGGGTGACTGTCATCACCATCACTCTCACCGTCACATTCTCAGGGAGCGAACACATGATCACTCTCTCTCCCGGGATGACCCTCACATCACTGTCTCCCCATCACGAACAGTGCAGCCAGCTGCAAACATCTGTAAAATTCTGTTTGCACTTGAAGACCCACCGGACTCAAGTCCTCGCACACTGACCCTTCCCAGGACCAGGCGGCCCCTGCTGGGCTCGCTGCCTGGCAGTGAGCTGGGCGCTGACAGGGGCTGCACCCACCTTTCTTCGCCCGCGCCATCTTCTTCACCTTGACGCTGTCGTACAGGAGGCAGAAGCGGCTGGCTGTCCGGCAAACATCCCATACACCTTGCTTCCGGGCAACCTTGGCCAGCTCTGCCCAAATCAGTACTCTGCTCACCAAAGACCCAAACGAAGGAAAATGTGAACTTGGCTGTGGCTGGTAGAAGCAGAAACCACTAGAACGACTGCTCCTGAGAAGAAGGCACTGGTGGGTCTACAGTTTTAAGGTTGCAAAAAAGCGACCATGAGACAATCAATCTCACAGCCAGGGGCTAGAGGCAACAGGGCGGCCTGGCAGGGGGGAGCTGTCCCCGGGGGACGGGGTGAGAGGGTAGGGGGTGCCCGAGCCCAGTGTCATGGCAGCCACACCCCCGTCGTTTAGTTAACATGCCAGGTGGCTCCCCTGCCAGGCCCCCCAGCCGTGCGTCGCCTCCTGCAGGCCTCCAGGACCACGCGTGGGGCCAGGGCCACAGTCAGCTCGGCCGTTGCAGACGGTTGCTCTCAAGCGACAGCCGCAATGGCTTGGGGGCTTGGCTGTGTGTGACCTGTCCCTCTCCAGGTCCCCACTCACCTCTCCTTTTCATTCTCACTCCCCAGGCGCCGCAAGTGCCCGGAGGCTTTCTCCACGCTGAGGATGTGGTGACGCGCTTTGGCGTAGAGGGCGGTGAACCGGCCCCTGTTTCTCCCGATGGAAACTGAGGACAGAAACGAAAGGCAGACGAGGCTGACGTCATGCAAAGGGTCATGTGACACGGAGGGACTGCACCTCCGGTCCAGGGATGATCTGTGCAGCCACCGTCACGGCAACCCCAGGGCTCTGGCCTCGGACGGAGTGTAGAGGGACCCCTCCCCAGGGCATGTTTAGTCTTTTGATGGGAGTTAGGTCGAGTTCATGGTGCCTGTGTGCGAGGGGGAAGCTGCCAGGCCACTGGGCACAGCGTGCTGCAGGCTAGGCCTGGTCACCCCGCCCTGCTCTGGCCCGTGGCAGCGCCACCCAGGCCCTAGTTGGCTCTCCCTCATGCCGGTGCCTGCCCAGCACCAGGTGTTTGAGCGGTTTGGTGTTGGAGGCTGCCCCTCCTGAGAGCTCCATGTCAGGGCCTGGCAGGCAGAGGGCAAGGTGGCCGGGCTCAGACCTCCTGGTCCCCGCCCGGGGCAGGGCGCAGCGGAGTGGGGGGGCACGCGGGCTCTGCCTCGCAGCTGGAGGCTGGTGCCCCGGGAGGGAGGCGGCACCTACCTTTGGTCTCGTTCTCGCTGTCGAGCACGATCTGGAAGGTGTCGGGGGCCAGGGCCAGGCCCGCGTTCACCAGGAGGGCCCGCTTCTTCCGGACGCTGTCTTTGGGCATGGCTTTCTTTGCCTGCGCAAGGGAGAGATGGTTCCGGTCTTTCCTGAGCGCCCTCAGGCTCAGAAGAGGCGCCGTAGGGCCCGTGCGGCACCTGCTCGATGGCCATGATGGCCTTGTCCTCGGCACGCTCGGGGGACTGGTACAGCATGGAGCAGAGGCGCAGCCGGTTGAAGGCCATCTTGAGCTTCTCCTGGTACCGGCCCTGGCTGTCCAGGCGCATGGCCTTTTGCAGGTGCTCCATGGCGGGCTCCAGGCGGTCCTCGCCCTCCTCGATGCGCGCCATCTCCATGTGCACTTGGCACCGAAGCAGGACCATGAGGCTGGAGAGCAAGCACAGCGTCACGGGGTGCGGGGCACGCTGGCCGCCCGCGAGCGCCTCGGGGGCGCCGTGCAGTGGGCCTCCACACCCTGCAGGTGCCACCTGCCTCGCCTTGAGGACTCACACAGAGAGGAGGTCCCTGCCGGCCACGGGAGGCCCGAGCCCCGCAGGCGACAACAGCCGGGACCTGGCCTCCAGGACTGAGCAGCAGCAGCTCAGCAAACCAGGGTCCTGCTAGCAGGAGCTGCTGCAAGTGAGGGACATGTGACGCTGGGGCTCGCCGCCTCCGTCCGCCGGTGCTGTCTCCCTGTCAGCACCCCGCACGGCTCTCAGTGCTGCCAACTCAGTGCTCCCCACTCGACAGCAGCCCTGCCTCTGCCCCCGGGTCTCCTGGGCTGAGGCACACACACCCACTCACAGGGCACCTGCCCCAGGGCCCATCCCTGCCGGGCACTTGTGCGGGAGCCACAGGCAGCCGGCGGGGCGGAGGCCACGTCTGAGCAGGAAAAGGGAGTTCCTCCCCCTTCCACACGAGACCCAGCGTCTCCAGCACCCTTTAAGGGTGGGTGCCTTCCGGCACTTCGGGGAGAATGAGCTGGATTTCATCCTTATCCCTGGGGTGGGAGAAGTCTGGACTCGCTCTCGCCCGCGCACGTGTCACCCCTCTCGGAGCGGGCAGCCCGGGGCGCCGACGCAGGCGCTACCTGTCCATCTTCTCCAGGATCTCCGCGATGTTGGTCAGCGGCTTGCGCAGGTGGTGCCGCAGGTTGTGCTGCAGCAGCGGGAGACACAGGTTCCACTGCGTGGTGCACACCACGTGGATGACCTGGGGGTCGCCCAGGCGGATGGCTCGCTGCAGCACGACCTCCAGTCTCTGTATGATATTCAGCTGGGTCTGCACAAAAGACAATGACTAGTGTGGGAGCTGGAAAGACGGGTACCAGTCACCTGCTTCGGGTGGCCCCTGGGCGGGCCCCTGGGAGGTCTGAGGGTCAGGGTGAGGTCTCTGCCACGTCCCAGTACCCTCAAATGTGGCACCAACTGGCTCTCACAGCGCCAGCGCGGGAAACCCGCACCCAGCCGAAAACCCGCAGCTCCTGCGCTGGGATTACCTCCACAGCCACTCGAATGTAGATTTTAATTTTACTTTCGAGCCTTAGAGCTTCTAATTCATACTCCAAGCACTCGATCTCGATCAGCTTCCCAGGGTCCTGCACAACGCAGACAGGGAGACTTGGCACGAAGGCAATCACACACAGCCATTAACTTCAACGGCAATTTTAAATAACTCAATGCACTAGGTAGAAATTCAGCAAATAAAAATCAGAACACAAGAATATATTTTAAAATTTTAAATGTTTATAAAAGATACAAAGATTTAAGTGAAAAAGCTAAAAAAAATTTTACCACCTGAGCTGCATACAACAAAGACGGAGGGAAACGTGCCTCCTGGGCTCCACGCCTTTCCCTTCCCTCCCCTCCCCTTCTGTTCCCTCCCCTTCCCTCCCTTCCCCTTCTTCTCCCTTCCCTCCCCTTCCCTCCCTTCCCCTTCTTCTCCCTTCCCTTCCCTTCCCTTCCCTCCCTTCCCTTCTTCTCCCTTCCCTTCCCTCCCCTCCCCTCCCCTCCCCTTCCCTTCCCTCCCCTTCCCGTCTGATCACAGTGGGCAGGTGCCCAGCCACAGTCACTGGCCACTTACTTTGCTGACAATGTCCTTCAGGTCTGAGAGGCAGCTGACGGCGACATCCTCACATTTCAAGGTCAGAGAAAGATGAGCTAATTCAAAAAGCAGGAAGAATCTGGAAACAAAGGCAGAGCAGCAAGGCATCACCACGTGCCGGGAAGATGCCCCCGGCAGCACAGGCGTCCAGTCGTCAGGCACCGAGGCAGGAAGTAAGAAGAGAACACAGAGCCCTGGCCGGCAGCTCGGCTGCTGAGAGCGTCATCCTGACACGCCACGGTTGTGGGTTTGATCCCTGGCCGTGGTACATACAAGAACCAGCCAATGAATGTACAGGTAAGCGGGAAACCAAACGATGTTTCTTTCCCTCTCCTCTCCTCTCCTCTCCTCTCCTCTCCTCTCCTCTCCTCTCCTCTCCTCTCCTCTCCCTCTCCCTCTCCCTCTCCCTCTCTCTCTCTCTCACCAATAAATAACTTTTTAAAACAATCTTTATAATAACATTTACGTGACAATGCCAAGGACCTATGATGGCCTGAGCAACTCTGAGAAAGGACCAAGTCAGAGGACACAGTCAGTCCTACCTGATGGTAGGACACTACAGAGCTGGCGACTCCAGGAACTGGCCCTGGTGTAAGACAGGCAGGTTTCTGAGCTTTGACGTCGGGATCGGGTCATCCTTGCTGGGTGGGGGACCTGTCCTGTGCGTGGCAGGATGCTGAGAGTCCCCAGATAGTGGCAACAGAGTGTCTCCAGACACAGCAAGTGCCCCCGGGACAAGCCCACACCCTCCTGCCCTTTCCCGCACCCGTCACTACCCTAACAGGAATGCCAATGGCTGTGCTGGTGTCAACATCCTCCCCTGGCCCAGCCTTGGGAGGGGGGAGTCCCTGGGGCCCCACCCACCCTGCCTCACCCGTCTCCCACCCACTCTGCCCCTGGACTGACAAGGTTCTGGCAGGCTCAGCCTCCCGCCTCCCTGCCCCACCCTCCCTGAGCTCCGGCCACACGGGCCTGTGGCCCATGTGAGAAGGGAGAACCCACCAAAGTAGAAATGACTGGTTTTAGTCCTTCCTGGTTTTGATCGAACAAAACATTTTCCCCACTCGCGGTGTCAGCGGGCCCCGGAGGGTCAGGCCGAGGAAGCACCTGACGCGCGCAGCAGGCGACCGGGCCTGATCCCCAGCAAGTGGAGGGCACACCTTCGCCTCCCGGCCAAGGACAGCGACCAGATGCTGACCGCACCGAACCGCGAGGAAGCTAAATGCCAAGCCTGCTCCGGGCACCCTCTCTGCCACACCGCAGCGAAGCTACGAGCTCTTATAAAAGCGATGGGGGGGGGGGGGGGGGCGGGGGGGCGCCCTCTCAAGACCTGGGGGGACCTCATGCACGCATGGGGAGAGGCTGTGTCACAGGGCGGGTGGGGACAGCACCCTAGTGCGTGCTCTGCCAAGTTCACGGGTCACCGATGGGGCTACCCGGCAGGAACAGGGGACGCTCGCTGCTTTCAGAAAATGCACCACTCCCAGGAATTCAAGCCAGGATCGTCCGAAACTCTGAACAGGCTCAGAGGGTTCAGGAACCGGGGCGCACAGAACTGAGAAGTTAGCATGATGTTGGGGCGGGGGGGTGGGGTGGGGGGGTGGGGGGAGGTGACCGGAACGCTTGTCTTCCACCTGGAAATGACGGGCAGCCCCTCGGAAAGGTGACCTTGAAAAGCACTTCGGCGAGAGTCTATTTGACTTTCAAAAGCAGGATGTGAAGTTACAGATCCCCATCGCATCCCTTTCTCCCGTCCTTACCGGATCTCGTACCTCCACGTGCAGCTGTGCACCTCTAGGGCATAAACACTTACTTTTCCTCTTCCGTCGAAGGCGGGCTCTGGTGATTATAGAGATCTAACTGCTTATAGGTGCTCTTCAGAATTTTGTTGGCATCTTCAGGTAAATCATTCTTATCCAATTTTCTAGAATTAATTCAAACATAAATAACACAGCTCCTGTTGGGTTTATTCAAATCATCCTAAAAAAAAATACTCTGAGTCCATGAACCTGTTTCTCCCACCGAACACAGGCCTAAAATGAATCCACCTCCTTTCTCTCCTCGGCTCCTGGTCGACACCTCACGCGCCTCACCCGCCCCCACCCCCGGATCCGGCTCTCTTCCTACGTCACTGAAAACGAACACACCCCGGACACTGTGCACCAGCCCCTCTGCCGGGCCAGCCGCACACACAGAGCCCACCTGGCAGGATGCCAAGCCCGTCGCACTGGCTGCCCGGGGACCCAGGCCTCCTCGCTGCCCTGGCCTGTCCCCTATGCTGGCATCTCGCCCACCCGCCCCCCTCTCCGCGGCAGCAGGTCTGTGCCTGGGTGCAATTCCTCTCCCTGGGCCTCCCAGCTGCCCCGGCAGGGTCTCGCCCACCCCTCTAGTTTTGCTGAATTTCCTGGCCAGCCTCCAACCTCCCCTGGGATAGCGGCCCCCCTCCACGGCTGTCCTGCAGCTCCGCCCTCACGGGCACAGCAGAGAGAGGGCGCCGGGAAATCTCACGCCTGTTCTCCCTCCCTAAACACTTACTGTTTTAGAAAGTTAATGTGGAAAGTGATGGCCAGGTTAATGGAACGTTTCTTTTCTTCCTGTAACTGATGCTCGTCCATCAATTCATGACGTACCTGTTATGAAATGGAACAAGATATCAGTTCAGGTTTCAATGAGGAATCAGGTAGAGATCGGATATCGCGTTTAGCTATGCGTTGGCGAATATTCCTTCTTTAACGTTAACATTTGCAATGAACAGCTATCTTTTCATGAATTATGTTTAGTACTTAGTTTTTCATACATCACTTGATTTCCAACACAAGACTTAATAGATGATGAATGCTCTTCATACACGTTGTTATGGTCGTTACTTTACTTTCCAAGTTTTCCACTGTTTTTAAAAGTCAGTGCTGTTTGTTACAGAGGAAATACTCAGAGTCGCAGTGAAGAACAGTTGTTGGGTTGTGTCTGTGTCCCTCGGTGGCTGGACCTGCGGGCTGGTTTCACGCAGGTTTCTGACGGGAGACACTGAGCAAAACTACTTCTCCTGTCTCCGCGTTGGACCAGCCGACTCACCATCACAGAAAACATCTGCTGGTATCTGTGCGGCGCGTGCTCTTTTATGAACGGCGCTGCTGTGGGGCAAAGCTTCGCGGCCTCCTCCTTCTTTCCAGCTTGTAGGTAGCACTCCAGAAGCTCCCTGGGTAACACCAAAGTGGCGGAGAGAAAACGCTGGTGAAACCACTTTCTGTTGCAAATGTCTACTAAGCAGCCTATTACGCTGGTATTATTTTCATGCTGCACAGACTTCGGAAGACATGGGGCCCCCGGGCCAGCTCCGTACCCCGAGCCATCGTCTGGCTTGGCAGGGACGGGGAGGGGGACGGGGACTGGACTATGCGACAGGCTCACACTTTCTGTGTTTTGAGTCAAAGCACACGTCCTGTGGTAACACCCAGGGGATGTCACCTACAGTCAGAAACGTCCTCAGACCAGTCACACAACGCAGGACCCTGGCTACAGAGCCGGAGCAGTGACCGACGCCTGCACCAGGGGTGACTGACCGCCCACGGGGCGCGCGCAGGACGGGTGCCTCCACTCACAGCATCAGCTCTGCCTGCCAGTCCTTGTCCTCCTCCTCCGTCTGGTTTAACACGCTCACGATCTGGGAGAGGCTGGGGATCACATACTGGTAATACCCGGGCTTGAGAAAGGGCCTCACCATTTGCCAGTAGAGGACCGAGGCGTTATAGACCAAGAAGTAATACCTACGGCACAAGAGGAGGAAGTCTGAGACCAGGTCGGAAGCAGAGCCCCTCCCCAGCCCTCTTCTGGGAAGAAAGCTGAGTTCCTCTGTCCCCAGCAGGTGGCAGCAGTCCCCTCTGAGACCTATGGCCCGCACTGCATGAACAAACAAGCACAGCCCTCCCAGGGGCAGCCTGGTGCCCTGCTCAGACACCAGCTCAGCCCCGGCCACCATCACCCGACCACAGGCTCCCGATGCCAGACTGGAGAACACCTCTCTCATTCAGTCACTCCACAAAGTACCCAGCTTCCCATGAAAATATACCACTGAGCAAGGCCTCCTTTGACTGCCAAGGAATAGACAAGAACAGGCAAGAGCAGGGAGAATCAAGGAAGGCTTCCTGGAGATGACATCCTGCTGAGACCCAAAAGGTGACCAGGAATCAGCCAGGAGAGCAGTGCAGGAAAAGAGGACTGGCAGGCGGAGGAGGGAGAGCAGAGCCTTCCGGGAGCAGGCTCTGTGTGCACACCAGAAATGCAAAGTGGGGGGGGGGGGGTCAGGACACCCCTGGGAAGCTGGGCTTCTTCCTGAGGGCTGCAGGGAGCCACCTGAGGGACTGAGTTCAGAATCATAGGGGCTGATTCGCCCCTTTTTCTACAGGCCTCTCTTGGGGGGTTGGGGGCGGGGCTCTGCCTTGTAGGACCCCAGGTGTCTGGCGGTCTTCTCCACTGGCCCTTAGATGCATGCGTGATGCTAATTAACGCTATTACCCAGGAAGGAGAAGGACTCAGGGCGCTGGCAGTAAGACAAGGCTGCTGGTTCTTTTGTGGGTTTACTCAGAGCCCCAAAACCCCTGGCATGCAGCAGCAACCAGGCCCCTCCCTGACAGTGCCCACCGCTCCCGTTTCCTGGCCCCAGGGCATGGTCCCCTTGAAACACCCACTGTCTTTAGAACCTCTGGCTTGAGGCCACCGGGCTTCCCTGTCTGCAGGTCCCCACTGAGGGAGTCTGGGGGCTGGGCCCTGTATCTCCAGTACCTATTACAGGGGCCAGCCAGAGAAGGCCATCAATGGCAGGCAGTGGGACAGTGAGTGAGCGAACCCAGGATTTAAGCTGAAATCTCCTTAAAATGGTGTGTCCTATCTAAAAAGGTTGCGTGCAAGCTTATATAGTATTTTTGATGAAGCAAGTATTAATTAAGAAGAAAATTGTGTTGGAGTCTCAGCCAAATCACCTCCACAGACATGAGGCCTGGGCCCAGGTGGTGGCTGGGGGAACACAGGCCAGTGGGGGCAGCGCAGGGAGGGATGCTGAGCCCCCGAGAGGCCCGGGAACTGGTGAAGAGAGGCCCGTAGAGGTCACCCCAGGTCCCGGAAACCACGGACCAGAGCAGAGGATGCAGCTACGGGGACTGCACCCTCAGCCCAGCTCTACCTTAGAGACGTGGGTGACACGATAAGTGCACGAAACACACAGAGCCAGGAACAGGGAGAACCACCTGGTAGATCCTGGTCTAAACCTTTCACACAGTCCCGGTCGGGAGCGACAGAACCATGGCCTACCTAGGTTCTCCTTTCGCAAAGTTGATCGCTTTCATGTACTGAGTCACGCAATTTTCAAACTCCTCCTAAAACATAAAGAATTGCACAATTAGCTTTAGCCGGTTGGGCTCAGGGGACTGAAGGGTCCCGGGTTCGATTCCGGTCAAGGGCATACTGGTATTCCCAGGTTGTGGGCTGGATCCCCGGTAGGGGGTGAGCAGGAGGCAACCGATAAGGAATTCTCCCCCATCATTGATGTTTCTATCCCCCTCTCCCTTCCTCAATAAAAATATAGATTTTAAATACTTTAAGGTTTGTGTAGCCTGACATAATTTTGGAAGGGGGTGTTAAATATTAACTGTTGTGATTCAAGATGTGGAATTTTGAGGAGAATCGAGGCAACCTCCTGGGGGAAGTAGAGTAGGGCAGACACCTCATCTCACTGACAATCTTGAGAGTGTCCATGTCAAGCCTCCTGGTCCACAGGAACTAAAAGACAACGCAGGGCGCCCTGGCTGGTTTGGCTCAGTGGATAGAACATTGGCCTGCGGACTAAGGGGGCCCAGGTTCCATGCGGGGAGGGGGGGGGGGGCTCGATCCTCCCCAGTAGGGGGCGTGCAGGAGGCAGCCAATCTATGATTCTCTCTCATCATTAATGTTTCTATCTCTCTATCCCTCTCCCTTCCTCTCTGAAATCAATAAAAATATTTAAATAAGCTCCGGGAACCGGCTCTCACCAGATTTTCGGTGGACTTGGGGGCACACAGCTGGGCCCTGCACAGGTGCGCTCGGCCCAGAAAATGGGTGACCGGCCCCTTCGCCTTGAAGTACATCTGGATGCAGTCCTCGCTCACCTCTGGCTGCCCCATCTGCAAGAGAACACCGCCCTGTCGCTGCCTCCTTCCCAAAAACACCAGGCGGAGCTCGAGGTCGCCCTGAGGAGGGCGGGGCCCAGCGGTCTCCCCCTGGGCACCCGCCCCGCGCTGTGCCCTCCCGTCCTTCAGCTTCCAGCAGAAACCCCTCGGACAATGACCTTCAGGGCCTGTTCGGCGCACAGAACGAACAGGTAGGGGCTGAAGCTCTCGGTGGGGTCAAACTCGGATTTCCCCAGGTTGGCGGACTTAATCAACTCGTACGCTCTCTTCAGGGAGGTGGCATCTGTCAGGACAAGCGTTGAGGAAGGCTGGTGAGCACTGAGCAGCGAGGGGCAGTCAGGAGGGTCCCAGAGGGGCCTGGGTCAGGCAGGCAGCCCGGGCCGCGCCCCTGGGTGGCCGCCGACAGGGACAGGATCCCCTCGGCACGGCCCCGCCCCCAGCGGCGCGGCGGGGGAGCCTCAGGTTCAGAATCACAGCCTCCCGGTACCCGCTCCTGGGGGTGCGGGGAGGGGGGTCCCCAGGGTCCGGAGTCTCTCGGAGTCCGGGTCCCCGCCCACCCTGGTGGCTCTCAGCGCGGGCCAGCTCCTGAGTAATGACCAGGTCCATGGCGCCTCTGCCCCGGCGTCTTCCTCAATCCCTTGCAGCCGCTGGCGGTTGCCTAGCGACAGGGGGACGCGGACCGGTCCTACAGGTCGGCAGCGGGGCCACACTTGTCCGTAAGCGAACTCCCCCGAGTCCACCCTATGCGGGCTCCCCAGCCCCCGAAAGCGAGGGCCTCGGGGGAGCAGAGCAGGGCTGAAAACCACCCAGAAACACAGCTTATGAAAAGCTGGCCCGGCTTATCAGACAGTGACAGACCGGGGCGCGTGACAGCTAGGCGGCTGTAGAACCCTACCTCACTCTTACACCAAACATAGCTCTAGAGCAGCGGTTCTCAACCTGTGGGTCGCGACCCCTTCACAGGGGTCGCCTACGACCATCGGAAAACACGTATATAATTACATATTGTTTTTGTGATGAATCACTATGCTTTAAGTATGTTCAATTTGTAACAATGAAATTGGGGGTCACCACAACATGAGGAACTGTATTAAAGGGTCGCGGCATTAGGAAGGTTGAGAACCACTGCTCTAGAGGTATCAAGAAGTTAAATAAAAAATAAAATGAGACCAAAAATTTCCCAAATAAAGCAGATAATTATAAAAATTCTTGGTCTGGGAATAAGTAGGATACAAAACCCAGAGACTATAAAAGAAAGAGTGATGACCCCATAAAAACTTCTAAGTGATAAAAACCTCTTTCAATAACTGGGAAACATTGGCGACACAGCATCCAGGCAGAGGGAGGGCTGATTTCCTTAAAACCCTAAAAATCTGTAGGAAACCACCCAGTTCAACAGACCAACCAGGGAAGACGACATCAACAGCATTTAAACATAATAATCTCATAATGAAGAGAAATACAAATCTGAAGAACAAGGTAGCATCCTTCACCTCTGGGCTGGGAAAGAGAAAAGGGTTTGACAAGACACTGGTTTGGGGAGAATGTGGGAAAATGGAAGGTCATGTCGAGAAGGCTAACCCCTATTTTGTAAAACTGCTGTTTGGAATTCTCTATTTTTTTAGACGGCTTCTTTATTCTAAAAAAAAATAACTTTGCTTTCCAGCCTGCTCGAGCCTGCTTGAATGATGAGGAAGATAAACTTCGCTGTCTGACCTTGTAGGCCAGAGACTAGATACGCCCATCCTCTCATGCCAGGCCAGGTGTATTTTTTAATTGGATAGAACTGTGTTGTTTTCAAGGCCACCAGCGACATAACCACGAAGCACACATAGGGCTGGCTTTTTAATAAAAGGGAAGTTCTGCTTGTAGCTTTGCCCAGAATTTGAAAGGCATTTTTCTCTGGGCCCACTGATGAATAAAGTGTGGTTCCAAACTCGCTGAGCATCGCTTGATTTCTTCCGATCTCTGTAACATTATGGGAGAATAAACTGGTACCACCTCTAAGGAGGGCAACTTGGGAATATCTGTGGAAATTCCCAATGCACACTTCCTTTCCCCCAGAATTCCACTCCCCCAACCTCTATGCATGACTCAGAGTGAGCCCCAACTCCCTGCTTCTCTCTCTGACCTGCGATCTGCCACCTGCCCCGTTTGGGGACCCCAGGCTCTTGGAAGGCTCCAGGCAGCAGCTCCTGGGAGGCCATGGTCAAATAAGGATATCAGGGTGTCACTGGAATCCAGTAACTGTGGGGAAGGGGCAACAGAGGAGACTTACCTTTCAGAGTGATGCTCTACTCTACTCAGGAAAGAACAGGCTATTTTGTAAGACTGTGGCCAGCGCTGACTCCCCCTCACCTGTGGCTCAGAGCAGACATGTAAAGAGAAATGTGTAATGAGATGCAAGAAGTACTGGAGGAACAAAGGGACAGAGGAAGGAAAACCAGGACAGACAGCAGGGCTGGAGCCAGGCTGGGCCTGCAGGCCAGAGAGGTACAGAGTGGGAAGGACGCCAGGGGGGGAGGAAGGCTGGGGTGGGTCTGAGTGCCTGGTCACTTCCTACAATCCCAGGAGGCCGGGCTGTCTTCACTCATTCCATAGGCAGGGCACAGGCGGAATCCTGCCTCGGGGCTCCGGGCTCCCGAGGGTCGAGGGTCGCTGCAGGGTGGGGACTCAGGCTCTGGAACAAACGCAGAGGTTCAGGCCCCACTCCGTTAATGTTAACTCCTTGCTGAGCAGCTGCAGGCCACGCTGGTAAGTCAGGGACCCACCTGAGTCTGGGGGCTGGGACAGAGAGACGGTGCCGAGTGGGGGGCACGGGGCTGGTGCGTGGTGGTGCTTGGGGAATGGTCCCCGGGGAGGCTTTAGGATATTTCACTGCCCAGACCTCCGAGTTTACCTCCTGGGCTCTGCAAGGAGGCTACTGACTAGGAGGGCACACTGGTCTGTGGAGACGGCCCTTTCCTGCGTTTGGGGAAGAAAGAGCCTCCACCTCCTGGCCCCACAGCTCTGCTCCCTGAGGCGCTGGCTGGTATTTTTAGCCACCTATTCAGGGGGCCCTCCCTCCCTCCTGCTAATGGCCTCGTATGAACGGTATGAACGCACTTCCTATTATTCTCCCAGCACCACACACAGCAGGCAGCTAGCTGTTCAAATGCAAGATCCGCCGGCTCTGATGGGCTGCACAGTGATGTGACAGAAACAGAAGATTTCACCATCTACCCATCCAAGTTGGCGACTGAATTGGGATGGCAGCTCTGACCCCGCCACCCTCACACAGACGGCGACAGCTGTGCTGAGCCTCGGACCCTGCCCTCCAAGTGCCTGCATTCCCCGGGGGCACCTGGCACCGTCCTTGCTGTTCCCTGAGGTCCTGGCACGGGGCAGCCTTTTGGTGGATACCATGGGGCCCCTGCAGGGTCTGGGTCCTCCGGGTGAGCCCGACTGTGGGGACAGAGAGAACTGCGCCCTCCACGCAGAGGGAGCATTTTGGATTTGTGTCTCTTCTTAAGGTTTGGCCTCCCCTGCTCCTGGGAGCCTGGGGACTGCCTTTGTTGTGCTCAGGAGCTAGAATGTTGCAGCCACGCGGGCTCCCCCAGGACCTTCCAGGCACTCCAACCCCTCCCTCCTCATCAGGCCGCTGTGGCTGCCCCACCCGCCTGGTGATGAGGCTGCTGGGAGTCAGGGCTGAGAGCTCTGTTCTCACTGGGCGCAGTGGAACCCGAGGCTCTCCACGTGGCCTGGGTCCCAGCAGGACAGCTCCAGGCCCTAGCGGGACTCCGCTTTCGCACTCCAGTCCTGTCCTGCGTTCCTCCCGCCACCTCCCATCTCCATGCCCCACGGTGCTCCCTGAGACACCCTCCCAGTAACCTCACACTCAGACCCACAGGCTGAGACAGACCCACAACAAAACCAAACTCCCTCCTGGAGATGGGCGCTGGCCTTGGGGCTAAGCCAGCTCAGTGTCCAGTGGCTTCAGCACCAACATCCATGTCTGACTGGCAGAGATGACCACATATCCTGCCCACCTGCGGAGGCTGCTGAGCAGGTGAACAGGGGCGTGGACAGAACATGGGGTTGGGAGATAGTAGTGCCTCTGGGGATTTGGCCGTTCACACCCTCAGCCTGGTCCCAGACTTTGCTCCCCGATTCCTTTAGAGAGAATATGCTCCCAGGCAAGCAGTTCTCCTGCGACAGAGCCTGACGCCAGTGCCATGCGTCAGCCCCAAGGCCCCAGTCTCGGCTGTGAGACGCCACAGACTTTCCTTTTGTGAGAAGAGCATGCCTGAATCCAGACTGTCCCGCTCAGGCTCGGGGTATGTGGGCCACGGTGGGCCTGGGACTCTGTCTGCATCCACATGTTACCAAACTAAGCCCAACCAGGGGCGCAGGCGCAAGGGGACTCCCAGTACCCCTGCTTCTGCCTCGGGAGGCGGGATCGCTGAAGCTGTGAGAGGCTGGAAGGGAGCTGTCACCAGTCAATGATGCCGGCAGCTAGCTCAGAAGTCGGGAAGTGTTTTGACTGAGGTTGGCTTTAATTACACTCCTAAAGGCTGGAGTCAGAATAAGGGAGGAGTTTGCAGAAGCAAGAGGGAATGTCAGCATTTCTGTGCAAATGCAAACCATGGCCTCAAGCCTGTGTCCTGGGAGCCCCTGGGAGCCCCTGGGGGAAGGCAGCCTGTGTTGGCATGGGAGGCCTTTCTCCATCACCCTGACAACAGTGGACCATGTGTGAGTGTGAGCATGCATGTGTGTGAGCCTGAGCATGTTTGTGTGTGTGTGTGTGTGTGTGTGTGAGAGTGTGAGAGAGAGAGAGAGAGAGAGAGAGAGAGAGAGAGAGAGAGAGAAGGTGAGTGTGAGCACATGTGTGACAAACTTCTCTATATGAGTTCCCCAGCAGGCATGCAAGCCCTGCCCTGCTTGCCCTCCTCATGGGGTGACCCTCCCCTCCCCCATAGGACAGCAGTCAGAACTGAATCCAGCTGAACTGATGAGTGTCTTCTGGGAGCAGAACCCTGACACCATGTTCTGGGAGGCGTCACTGTAACCAGAACCAAGGTTCAGCTGCCTGTTGCCGCAAAAACCAAACTGGTGAGACAAATGCTGGTGAAAAAGGAAAGAGGTTTATTCAGGTACTAGTAACCTGAGAAGATGAAGGCCTCTTCTTGCAAAGTTCATCTCCAAATCTCAGAGGTTCCTATAAGGAGGGAGAGGGAAAGCAAAACAAAGAAAAGTTCCCTACTTGCAGGCCAGCACAGTCCATTCTGATAAGGACCTCGCAACTGGTCAAGTGATGGTCTGATACGCATCATCCTGGTCTTCGTCATCCTGGTTCTTCATCATCCTGGCTCTACATTGGAAAGTTAGCAAATCTGGAACTTGGATGACTAAAGGTTGGAGCCCATAACTTCTGAAATTAGTTCCTAGGGTTCTTATACAAATATGTTATCTGCAAACTACATATTAGTCAGAACCAGCACTTACAGAAACAATGTCAAAAGAATGGTGGTATGGGTTACAATTCCCCACTGTTACACCATCTTGAGTATAAATATCTTTGTTCAATGAATTGAAAAATGAAACTAACTCCTTCTTCAATCTTAAACAAATAACTTCAAGAATTC